CAGTTCATCATCACTGAACTGATTTTGTATCTACTCCGACACCACTGGAATTTCCCAATAATCTGACAGTGCAAGGGCTTTTCATCATCTGGGAAGAGCCCCTGTGTTCAAACACATGCTGTTTCTCCAACAAGATTAACTTTTAACCAGAGATAAATGCTAATTTCATAGTGTTGTGCCCCTTTTCAGTAATCCTCAGGTTCAAAACCGTTTGCCTGATGAATCTGTATCTGCACTGTGTGCCTAAGGTCAAAATATGTGCTGGGAGAGACCATTTTGATTTCAGCACTTTCCAAATCTGGTCACCAGGAAGAAAAGGAAACTTGATCTGCCCTCATCCTTATCCTCCAGCTCCAAATGAAGTTCTCAGTTTGCTTCCTTCCATGACAGAAGTGGGTATTAGTCTGTGTGGAGAAGCAGCACAAGCATTTTTACTCCCTTGGGATCATTTTGCAGTAGCATTTGGAAGTCAGAATCATCCCACATTTGTCTTTCAAGTCAGAAATGAGATACAACAGTGTTTAATTTTTTGTTTGTTTTTGGAATGTGTTATTTGGAAGGTAGAGGGTGTCTTTTTGCTTTCCAACTGCCCCTGCTTAAGGATATCCAGCTGAACCGCCTGTCCCTGAGCCAGGGGTGTTCCAGTGGAAAAACGATCAGTCACTTCAGGTTAGAGAAGTGGCAAATTTTCCTAGGAAAATTTTCTTTCCATCTCTCTCTCTTGCTTTGTTACTACTCCAGTACTGCCAAAAAGGACTTAATCCTAGGGACTTACTAAAATAACTTCTGACAAATGGACAACTTAATCTCTGGAGCAGTCTGGGCACCGTATGCAGTGACAAGTATTTGAAAATGCTTCATGGATAGACATTCCTGCCTTGCCTTTTAAATAGAATCATTTTCCTTTTTTTTGACATGCTGAGCAATACATGTGGCATCCTAAATGTGTTTTGTCAACTGAGTCCAGGGTTTTTAAAAATATGCAGCAAGATTTTAATACAGCTCATCGCATTATACACAGCCAGACATCCTGCTTAGTCCTCAAAGGCTGGATATTCCCCATGCACAGCCCACATGCAACTGCTGCTGTCCAATTCCAAGGAATGACAGCCTCCCATGGGCTCCTTCCTTCCACACCACGGCACAGCCTTCTCTGCCTGGATCCCAAAGGAGGACGTGCAGCTCGCCAGCTCTGAAAACTGCTCACACTGTCTTTGCCTGTTCAACTGCACCAAAACCCCATCTTTTGATTTTCTTCCTGGAAAGCAACTTTTCCTAATCCTGAAATGCTTGCCTGCAGATGCAAATTCAGTGTCAGCTTTGTGGATAGTTGCAGCAAGCAGTGTCACTTGTGTGTTAGCATTAGAAGTAGGAGCTTAATTTGCTGAACTTCCAGATGGGCTGGTCAAGATGAATTTTATGGGGTTTTTTTGGTCAGATAAGCATAATTTTCACCAGCATCAAAAGGTCCCAGCAGCCTGCTATGCTATTTACTGTACAATAGCAAAAGGAATGTTACATGGTCTGGGGGCTGAGCTGACAAGACACAATGGATGGCAAAGAGAAGTCACATTCATTGGGAATTGTGTGATACAGCCGAAATCCTGATCCTGCACCCTGAAAATCATGAAAGCTCCAAAAACATTAGATTGTTAAAAAGAGGGGTCTGTATTTATTGTTTGCTGGGTTATATGGAACTTTTAGGAGGCACTCTGTCACAATTTCAGCATTTTTCTGAAGCTTTGACTAAGTGGTGCTCTGCAATGAAAGGGATTCATGTGAAAACAAGGATGGCTCTGCAGTCACCTCAAAGGACATCAGAATTTCATCTTTGCTTTAGAATACAAAAATAATAATGACTTCCACGCCATGCTGGAGAGTTGAGCCTGTAAGAAAGACATCAAAGGTCTTACTGCTCCTACCCACTGCTGAGAGTGGGCACCACTGAGCATGGCAGATGGCAAATGCTGAGACAGCTCCAGTTTGCAACAAGGCTGCCAGGAGGGGTAGGGGGCTGAGGGAACAGGAACAAGAGAATGGGGAAAATAAGCAGAGGTAAGTAGATATGAGAATAGGGGAAAATGTAACAAGATGATTAAGAGCAGAGAAAAGCTACACTGCCCCCTCCCTTCCCTTGTAGCTTGATTTCTGCTGGAACTATGCTGGACAAAGATCTGTTCATATTATTTAAATGCTCCACAGCAAGCTCTGCTACTCACAGCCACTGATCCTCTGCTCAGGAACGAGGTAAAAAGGAGATCTGTCTTCCCTGAAATCAAACTGGAAGTCCCAGGGTGCAGTAGAGGAACACAGCCTATCCCAGCTCTCCTTTATCCTGGCCCTTTACAGAAACTTGACAGTCCTTTAGAAAAGCAGTTTGTGTTTTGAGGGTAGGGACAACATGGCAACCCAGTAACAAAAAATATATATTATGATGCCTTCCCAGAGCAACTTGTTATTTCACACTGTAAAATTTACAGCGACACAGAATAAAGCTTTAAGCTTTGAAGCAAGAGCTTCAGAGGTTGCTGTTGCCAGAAATGCTCTCAGGAAGAGTTGAAGGCCCCTGGGCATATTCTGGGAGCAGAACTGCCAGATCCCCATCAGGATCAGTCTCCAAGTGCCTTCCATTTCCTCATCTACCTCTCAGAATCCAGGCCGTTACTTAGACTTGTTACAGGTAAACCACAACTAACTGGAATTGCATAAGAGGTAGAATAGATTGAGATAAGAACTTCATTTTTTAAATTAAGTCCTAAAGATGAGAAAGATGTCAGAAACTAGAAAAAGCAGAGTCATAAATTCAAAGTACACACTACCATGTGAGCATGTGTATGTGTGTGTACACATATGTGTATGGAAAGATGTCAGAAACTAGAAAAAGCAGAGTCATAAATTCAAAGTACATACTACCATGTGAGCACGTATGTGTATATATTTGAGCTAGGAACAGAATACTATAAACCAGAGGAAACTCATTCCACTAAATAAAGGAATTTTATTGCAAATGTGCTGCACTGGAGACCTAAGTGGCCTCATTTCCTGGACTAGGTAGTCATGAAGTTGTTTTTAAGTGTGAAGGACACAGTTGTAACCCATAACTTTCAGCCTAAATGATAGCATTGCTCTGACAATACAGTGCTCCTGTTCTCAGCTGGAAGTGTGTCACATTTGTGTACCACCTTTTTAACACCTTTTATTTTTTTTTTGGAACAGAGACAGCATAAAATTCAGAGGTTAGTTGGGTTACCTCTTACTCTTCAAAAGAATGGCTTTGTCACTGCCTGTGATCTTTACATTATTAACAGGACACAAAAGCTGAGAGACTGGCAGACGTGGATGAGAGGTGGGTAGGAGGTATGGAGGAGGAGAATTTGGAATCACTCCCTGTCTTTTTATGCCAGAGGGAACCAGACAGGGAAGCTGGCTAGAGGACAGGCTGTTACCAGCTCTCATGATTTTGAAGGTTGCATAATTATTTTGTTAATATAAAGACAAAACTTTGTGACTCATATAGTTGCAGAAGACTGAGGAATCTTTTGAAGGCTAAAACGGGGCAGCATCTCCCAGTGTGATGGAACATGATCAAATAAATCCTACTTAGGACAAGTATCTGGGCATCTCTGGGGTTTACCATTCCATGTCCTACTTTGTCTCCCAGCAGCAAAGCATAACCTGCTTTCCCAGGCCACTTGAGACTTTGAGTCCTATTATGCAATGCCTATGGAGAGCTGAGCAGTGTATAAGAGAGGGAGAGTACTGAACAATTCAAAGCTGAAATAAACCTAGGCAGAGGTGCAGCCAACGAGAGTAAAAACACAGGAGTGCCTTGGGCCCTGGAAAAGCAAATTAAACAATAATTATTCCCTTTCTCCTTCGGATGTCATTAAAAACTCTATGTCAGTGCAAAGGTATCCCCAAACAAACACAAAACACAGCTGACTGTAGGGACCACATGATTTCTGGAGACTCCTGGACAGCAGGACAACGCCAGTTCAGAAACCCATCTGCCACCACCAGATACAGGCTGCAGGGGGGGCTGACTGGAGAACCACAGGGATGTAGTTTAAGCAACTATTTGGAACCTTCTCTGTGAGTTAAGACTTGCTGCTTCGTCTGCTGCCGTGTATATGTCAATGAATGACTGCCCCCTTTGTATTTTTCACAAGCCAACTCTAAATCACAATTAATGAAGGCATCTGGTTCTTTCAGTCATTTCATTTTACTCAGAGGAGGCAGATATGACATAGTATCGCTTTCAATAGCTGCCTGGAGAGTTGCTCAGATAAAATAAAGGGCAGAGAAAACACTGCCTAATCACAGTTCTCCTGTAATCGTAGCTCTCGGGGACCATTTTTTTCAGCAATGTATAACTGTCACTTTAGCCTACAAGAAACAGACATTTTCCTTCACCATGGGCTAATGTAGGCACCCTTGAGATAACAACAGCCATAGACCTGAGTCATAAAAAACCCACATCAATTTAATACTGCCATGTAATATATAACATAGGATACGGCAACTATAACAGAATAATACAGCTGTTTTAGAAATCCCCACCTGGCCGATCTAGAAACACTCATGGCTGCTTTCATTTGTGCCCTGCGGCCAGTCCGTAGTGGCGTGACGGTGTAAAGCCAGCTGAGCAGGGAAGCTGAACTGCCCATACCGCTGGATCTCGGCATAACCCAGCTGCCTTTCGCCGGCGCAGCTCCAGCTGGCCACGGCACGACGCTTCCAGCCTGCGCTTTCTTTTGGACACTAAACCTGGGGGAGAGCCCGGCGGGGAGAAGCCCCTCCCTCCCTCCCTGCCTCCCTCCGTCCGTCCCTCCCCGGCGCGGGTTTGCAGCACGCCGCTCGGCGGGCCCGGGCGCGGCGCCGGGCTCCGCGGGGCGGGGCGGCGGGCGGGCGGCCGCTGCTCGGGCCGGGGCGGGCGCTGCCCGCGCCTTTGCGTTCCTCGCTCCGCTGCCAGACAGCGGGGCTGCGGCGGCGCGGGCGGCATGTGGGCAGCGGCCCCTCTCCTGCTGCTGCTCCTGCTGCTGCTGGCGCGGCTGTGCCGGCGCGGGGCGGCGCGGCTGGAGCCGGCCGGCCGGGCCGTGCTCATCACGGGCTGTGACAGCGGCTTCGGGCACCTGCTGGCGCTCCGCCTGCACCGCCTGGGCTTCACCGTGTTCGCCGGCTGCCTGTGCCCCGGCGGGGACGGGGCGCGGCGGCTGCAGCGGGAGGCGGGCGGCGCCGGCCGGCTGCGCGTCCTGCGGCTCGATGTGACCCGCGCCCGCGACGTGCGCGCCGCCAGGGAGCTGGTGCTCAGCCACCTGCCCGAGCGAGGTGAGCGCCGGGGCGGCGCGGGCGGGGACCGGCAGCTCGGGCACCGGCGCACACGGCGTGCCAAGGGGACGGCTCGGTTCGCCGGGACTGCTGCCGGGGAGCTGCCTGACAGGGCCAGCTGGGCTGTCACAGCGTGAGCGTGGCGAGCACCGGCTCGGATGGGCTAGGTGCGCTCACCGCTATCGGTAAGGACGGCAGGATTTTATCAAAAATCCCTTGGGCCCGTCCGAAGGTGCCGGCAGTGTAAAGCAGGTGCGCTGCTCAGCGCGGCAAGGGGGAGCTTCACCTTTCCACAGGGAGAGGAACTCCCCGAGTGGGGCATCCCCGGAGCCCCTCTGCAGGTTCCCGAAAGCACAAGCGGCAAGAACGCGCAGAACAGAACATCGGAGCGGCGGGACTGGTGCGTTCCCGGGCGTGACTCGTGAAAGAGGAAATAGATAGAAGAAATGCAGCGAGGGCAGCTGCCGTGCCACACCAAAGCGGCTGCTTCTTGGAGCCGCTTGAGGTTTGTCAGGCTGGTCCCTGGAGAGGTTACTGAAAGGGAAATGTGTCAATTATGCACCCTGCAGGGAGTGTGCACCCAGCGGAGTGGATAGACTTAGCTCAGATTAATTGCAGACAACCTAAATCCTGGGTTATCCCTTCAGCACACGTGACACAGTGCAGGTGATGGGGCCACTCCTTTCCCTCTGGGACAGCAGGGTGGGAATTATCCAGTGTAATTCTGGGATACACTGTGCACAGCAGAGTTCCTCAGGCTCAGAAGCGAGGTTCCCTCCAAATCACAGACAAAGACTTCCTGCTTGTACACGGAATAGAAATGCAGAATGGGGCACACAGAGAGATAAGGAAATGCAAGGCCTCTGCCTGCCTGGCTCCTTAGCTCATTGGGAAGGGGATGGAATGAGAAGTGAAGGAAGAAAAAGCCTAGACATTGCTCATTAAGCACATGTATTTATGGTTGATCTTGACCTTATCTTAATAAGAGGCAGAGCCTTCCCCTCTCAGGCCTTTCCTTAACCTACAGATAAACACAAATGTCTCCCAAAAGCCCTTAAGGGTTCCCTGGGGACCAGGTCACCTGGAACTCTGGGTTTCCCACAATTTATGCTGCAATTCCAACAGCTTGTGCTGTCCTGCAGTGGTTGTGCCTGTGCTGCCATGGAGACCCTGGAGTCGTGGGTCAGCACTAACTCGTGGGTTGTCCTTGCTGCTTCCAGACTGTGCATGTGCCCTCAGAGCAATTCCAGGCCCATCCAGACTCTGAGCACGGCTGCTGTGGGATGCAGCAGGCACACAGTGTGGGCACAGTGCTGTTCTGGGCTGGCACCTGGGCTCTCACACCAGCCACACTGGGCTGGGCAACCACACACGTTTTATGAAACCTTTTTCCATGGCTGGGCACCTCTGCTGCTGCAGAATTTTGAAGATATTTTGCAAAGGCAGCAAAGAAGTAATAATTTTATAGATCCAGGTAGCACATAGGCCACATGGGGAAACTCACATTTATCAAGTACTCTTCCTTTTATTTAATAAGAAGAAGCAAAGGAGTTATTTTAATGTCTGCTGTTAATGGACTAAGACTGCAAGTGTTCTTTGTAATTTCTAAAATAGAGGGGCACAAATATTTTTATCTCAATTGTAAGGAAACTGTGACAATACTCTTGCAGACTATAAGCAAAAGACTTCAGTAGGAGTGTTCATTCTTGGCACCTCTGAAAATAGATATGTTGTTTTCTTTGGTATTTTACCTTTATAGAAACAGTTTCAATTTCACGATTAAACAGGAGGTTACCTATCATATTAACCAATTTATTTGTTAAATATAGAAATTGTATTTTTTTAATATTTGCGTCAAAGATTGTGTTTAATTAAATTATTTTTCATTAGGAAAGATAATTCTGAACCATTTGTAATTGCATTTGTGTTCTGAAATAATCTAGAAGGTCAGAACAGTACGTGACTACACAGAACATGTTACCTGCTACCCAAAGCGTGTGCCTCAAATCCCAGTTAACCAACCCTCAGGACATTTTCCCTGGTGGACCACGGGCAGCAACATGCAGGGCCTACAGCAGAGTCCTGACCAAAGTGGAAATGCAGCTCACACATTTGTAATGAGGAGAGCAGAGTAGATGGTAGTCCAGTAGATTGTTGGAAGTAAGCATTGGACAGATAAAAAGTCTGCTTTTGGTTTCTGCACACACAATTCAAACTGATACAGGAATCTAGTGGATGGTGGTGGAGGTTACAGTAGATCTTGCATTATGTTATTTAAAAGCTGTTGAAATTTAAAAGCTGTTAAAGCTGGATGTTAAAAACACCCACCTTTTAAGCAGCTGCTGGCAGTGTTCTGTATGTCACTGTTATCTTCTCAGTACTGTGGGACAGTTTTCTGTTTCTCCTTCCCCCTCCCTCAGAAGAGGAGGATTCTGTTCAGCAATTCCCCACAAATACTGGGAAGAGGAACCTGTCCCTGAGAACCACTAGGTATTGCTTAGGGATTGTTCCCTCCTTTTTTGCCATTTTAACTACAATTAGTTTCACACAGGTATGAAGGATTTTAGGTGCTGGACTTCTAAATTCTGATCACGAAAACATTCCTGTATTATTCCAAAAATAGTCACTTCAGTAATCCCAGGCCTAATGGTAAGTGTGCAAAGGCCAGGGATTCTGAATGAGACCTCAGAAGCTGGACCAAAATGAAGAGAAAGCAGGTAAATGATGATTGGTTTTTGCATGCCTGTGTTTAAGTAGTTCAGAGTAAGTCCTGGTAAAGATTAAATATTCTTTATGATTACAGTATCATCCTTTCCACAGACTATGCATCTCAGACGAGTAGGGCTTTTTGGCAGATATGCTTTCTTTTAAATAACCTTAATCTGCCTTTTTCCTGGGCCCAGGATAAGTAGACTCACAAAAGACTAAAAGAGACTTTCTAATTTAAGTATTCAGTATGAAATGTACACAAAAATTTGTAGAATATCAGAAAAAAATCAGAGTATCAGGAATAAAATACAGTTCTCCCTACACCTCCTATGTGTAACCATAACTAGCCCAAGCTCCTCATTATCTTCTCTCTGTTATACAAGAGTAGAAATCCAAAGCCAGTAAGAAATAGACCAGGACATCACAGCATGGTGATTCTGTTAGGCTCTACAGCATGCCTCAGAATTTTCCGATTTTCTTCTGTTTCAAATCAGAATTTGTCTTCCTTTTCTTGCCTGCTAAGAGTGGGTGACATTAGCTAGCTGGAACGGAGGGATATTAGTTTTAGTGCCACTTCCTACTCAAAGGATATGAAGTACTCTCTTACACTTAACATTGATTTTGTATTCACGGAATTCACCCATGGTACAATATTTTAGTCCAGACTCCCTATAGAAATAGATTATCCTTACAGTGAAGAGAATTTTAGCATAATATTCCAAGCAAAGGATGGTGACTCATGAATGGATGTAAATACAACTCAGGGATCTCATCTGGCCTGCTAGTACTCTGCACTGCTTAGTTTCCTTTAGTATTGGTCTGGACTCTATCAGGAGAGAGCCTGTCATTTTCATTTGGGCTCAGGCTTAGAGGAGAAACTCCAAAGATCAGTGATCCCAAGAATACCTGTTGGAATTTACTATGTGTGGCAGAATTCAGGTAGTATATGAGTGTTGGCACCAACACAGAAACAACCTGATTTTCAGAAGGTTTTGTTAACCTGCAGCTAGAGGGAAGGAGCTGTTATTTTGTGAGCTCTCAGAAATACACAGGCTGGCCTTGCCAGCAGCCACCCAGAGGCTTTGAAGCACCTGAGGCAAATAGCTGGAGAGAAGACTTAAGCCTTGCAAGATAAATTCTGAATTTCACAGTTTAGAGAAGGAGGAAGAAGATCAATTGTCTAAAGATTAATGGCTGTATTTCTGAAGGCCTGATGAAATCAGGAGTATGTGGAGCAAGTGTTCTTGTTGTGCTGCACAGGGTGCACTGGCAGAAGCAAAATGACTTTTTTTAAAAAAAGGTAAAGCTGAAATATCAGGAAGCAGCTTTTGCAGTGATGTTGGGATTTAGTTTGGGTTGTGTTACAGTGTTAGATTATATAAAAATAACCCTGAGTACAGAAACTCCAGCTTTGAACAGAAACAGATGGGGTGTGCAGTCACTCAGCCCATCTGCAGAGTGGATCATGTGCAAGTACAAAAATATTGATAATTAGCTTCTACAGAGGGCTCTCTAAGCCATTGATCTGGAAGCATTTATGGGGAGCTAAGTCCCATGGGGCTGGGTTCCATTTTAAGATGGAGAAATAAAGCCAGAGAATGATGGAAAGACATGGAAAAAGAGGGCAATGGTGAGTGGAAAAAAGAAGTCTAGGATGCCCAATTCCATGGTCAATTTTTAAGCTCATTTCCTCTCCTCTGTCAGCTAACATTTGGGGCCATGGAAACGAAGTGAGTCCAGAGGAAGCTGCTGCATTACTCGGGCAGCAGTCTTGTCTGTAACTAAAGTTGTAAGAGGGGTCCAGTGTCAAGGATTGCTGGCTGACAGGCTGCTGAACAGTGATTGATGCTCTCTGGAGGATAGAGTTCTCCATGTTCTGTGTGGTAAATTATTAATTTTGAGTGTTTTTCCCTGCAAATGAGACATTCACTAAAAGAAATCAGTTTCTTTCTCTGTTTAAAGACCAATTTCATTATGTAATACCAGTAGTGTATATATATGCTAGAAAAGCTTACATAGGTCTGCTTTACAAACTAATGCCAAAAATTTCCTGTTTCATCTCTAACTGCTGTTCTGAATGAAATCTGATACTTGCACTTCTTGGCGGGGCTCTGGAAGGACCCATGAGAAATGGGTATTTCAAGATACCATGAAATTATTGCAGTAGTTTCGTCAGAGAAGATCAGAAAGAAAAGCATTCAGCCCAAAGGTTTCTGCAAAGGCAAAGGTTTGCCTTGACTAAGGTGATCAAAAGTCCCCTGAGAATAACTCTGCTGCCACAGGTACAGGAGGCTACAGCTGGGTCAGCTCACCCTGCCCCAAACTCATGTGTCCAGAGGAAGAGAGGCACTAAAACCTGCCCTGCCTCCCCAGAAACCCAGGCTTGGAGGTCCTGTAGAAGGCATGACAAAACAATTGTTTGCCCTGGACACCTAGAAGGATTCCTTAAAAGAAGTGCATGAGCAAAATTGCCAAGGCAGGCAGAAGTAAGGTGCGAATTGAGCTGTTCCAGGGCCAGGCTGGCCCGGCGCTCCTGCGTTCCGCTGCTGTCACCCTCGAGATGCTGGCAGTGAGGACTGAGGGCAGGAGCAGACAAGTTTCCAAAAGCACGGTGTCAGTCCCTGCTTTGCTGGCCAGCCGCAGTGGGGGGCTGTGCAGGCAGGCACAAGCCAGCACGCTCGGTCAGCAGGTGGGCAGCGTGTGAGCTGCAGCGTGTGAGTGAGTGCTCCCGCTGCAGCACAGCATTCCTGAGCTCAGCTTGTCAGCTCTGTTAGCGCTGGGCTCTCGGGAGACCTGCTGTGCCTGTGGGCTGCAGGTTCAGCTCCCTGTCACTGAGCTCGGGCACAGCGAGCCTCACTGCCAATGCCTCGCTGCTTGTGAACGCTGACATCTTTCTCCTTAGCACCATCTGGCATTACATGGGCAAAAATGTTGTTCAAGTGTACAAAATTTTAAAAATACTGTAGCCACTGACCCTGTTGCAGCCATGTACCTGATTGTGGCTGATTTCAGAAGAAAGCAGAGCTCAAGTCTTGGAAAAAGATGCAAGACTTAGGCTCTTAAATTAGTCAGGCACTTTGAAAATAATACCCCTTAGCCTTTAGACCGCTTAATATAATTTTCACAAAGCTGCTCATAGCACACAGTGGGATTAAAGTAATTAAAATATCATGGTACACCACATTGGCAGTAAGATGTAGTCTCCCAGGTCATGTTATTCATAAATATCTTAAGACAACTATAGAGTAGGCAATTATTAAATAGCACTGAGACTTATAAGGAAAGGTGTCCCTGATCATGGGAGGGGGGTAGAACTGGATGATCTTTAATGGCTTTTCCAACCCAAACTATTCTGATCCCATTTAGCCCAGGTTATGGCCACAATGGCATTCCTTCATTAAACAAAACATGCCTGCACTTTAAAGTGGGAAAGACAAAGATGTTACACAACCATACAGTTTCTTCAAGGGTCCGAATCAGTGGTGTTTGTTATCTAACAGTGGCTGCTTTGCAGTTAAAGGTGCTTGCTGAGTCATTTCTCTTCCATAGGTTTCTGGGGCCTTGTCAACAATGCAGGAATATCAACATTTGGTGAGACAGGGTGGCTGCCTATGGAGACATATGAAAAATTTGCAGATGTGAATATCCTTGGGAGCATCAGGACAACCCTGGCATTTCTTCCCCTTCTAAGGAAATACAAGGGTAATGCTAATCCACTGTTACTTAGAGTTGTAGAATAATTAGCTTACTATAATCAGGGTAATGTAACATCTATAAAAGAGGCTTTAATTGTCTTTTATTGAACTGAAATGACAGCCTCCTTCTGTGTGGCCTGAAAGAGCAACTTGATCCTGAAAAGAGCGTGAAGCCATAAAGGGAAAAAATATCCTTAAACATTTTGTCTTTGCAGTACATAGAAAAAAGTGTTTATAAATAAGGATTTCTCTCAGTGTTTGACCCAAGAAAGAGGAAGAATATTTACTGTACATCATTAAGCCCAGGCAAGCCTTTTTAAGCACTGACAATCGGAAAACACCAAGATCCATTAAACTGCCTAATTTTATTATTTAGGCTTTACAATTTTATTGTTTGACAATTAGGAGAGGAGGAATGACCCTACAGAGGTGAACTAGAGACATCCAACTTCCAGTTCCAGCTCTATGGAGCCTCTGTGACCTTGGGCAGGAAACTTCAAGTATGTAGAGGTGCATGGGTATCCAGTGGGATAAATGTATTTGCATGAACCTCCCTACATGTGGGCTTTATCCTTCTTTCTAAGAAGTGAATGTTTAACAGCCCTCTGCAGCATGGCAGCATGTCTTGGGTGCTTTGCAGTTTGTCCTCTACCTGTCTCCATCTGTGTTTGGGGAGGAAGATCCCCTCTTCCTTGTCTGTTCTGACTGTAGGCTCTTTAGGGGGAGGATTTGTGCTCTGTGTGCAGCATCAAGCACAGGAAGGGGTCGGTTTCACCTGGAAACCCCAGGTGTCACTGCTACACAAACTTGGTAAGATAAAAGCATCGCTTTTTTTGGGCTATTCTGCTTCTTTCTGCTTGGCTGCCTTTGGTAGATGATATTCTGACAGAAGAAGAAAGAAACCTTTAAGTACTGTGAGCTGGATGTGGTTTTGTAGCAGAATGTGCTATTGTGTATACCCAGTGAGTGTGTTATGTGGCCATTACACAGGGAGACATCTCTTTTCCCTGTTGTGTCCTACTTGCTGCTGGGACTCTGTGATGCTGATCCACCAGAGGCATTTCTCTGACCCCATGAGCTGCACAGGGTTATTTTGAAGCAAAGGGGACTAACAGTGCGTGCAATATTAAGCACATGCATAAACCTTTAGAAGGTTTGGGTCTGGATGGCTGCACACACACCTCAGCTCAAAGGAACATTCTGTATCTGTCCCAGGGCTGTCAGTGTTTCCTTGATTAACTCCTGCACTCCATTTTCAAGTACTGTCTATGTAGGAGAGGAGGCCAAGGCACTCTAAGAAGAATCCTAGATTTGCTGTTGCCTTCCTTGCAGGAACAGCCAGGATATCTAAAATTTATGTGTTTGGGGGCAGCAAGTAATCTCTCCAAATGAAAAGCTTGACTTAGAGACATTGGAGCATTCTCCTGGGGAAGCTGAGTTTCAATTCCCTTAGACACTTTAGAGAGAAGTTAAATGAGGTGTCCCACATCCTGGGTGTGAGCCCCATCTACTCAGCTACTGGACAAGGGAGGCAGAGGTCATCCTACACATTGATTACTGCCATGGATGTGCACCTGTTCTAAGAAACACTTCAAAATTATTAATACAATTATTAATACTTGTAAAGGGAGGTAATGCCCTCCAGCCTAGGGCTTAAACATTCTGCCCTGAGAGGAGCAACATTTCCCCATGTCTTTTCCAGCTGGCCAGGCCAGCTGATAGGGCATCTTGGTCAAGCTGGTAGTTTGGGGTGCTGTATAGGAAGGCAGGGAACCTAATTCAGAATGAGAGATTTCACTGGATTCCCGTGCTACCTTTTGATATCCCCCAAGCCTCTTCCATTTGGTGACATCTGGGGCCCAGATGTTATCTGCACCTGTGGCAGCAGCAGGAGTGCAGCTGTGTTCTCTGCATTGTCAGTGACAGCACCATCTGCTCCCTCAGCCCTGGTATTTGTATGTCCACACTCGGACATTCCTTAGCGCATGGTAGGACTGTGTGACAGAAGTTTACAAGGAAACAATGGAAATGAACCACAGTCCAGTGCCTCACATGAGGAATCTCGTGATTTAAGGCATGCCTGCACTCAGCAGGAGTTAGAAGGGAGGGAAAGCAGCACAGATCAGGGGAATCATTGTAAGGTATTGTAAACCTGCATACATTTGGCAAGTCTCATTTCCTCAGTGAAACTTAGCACTGTAGAGTCTGGCTTGGACTTCATATGCACAGTTACAGAAGCTGGTCTCAGTGCAGAGCCATCATTAGCACAGAAAAAACTGATATTAGTAACCATATCATCTACCTCAGGGAAAATCACCTCTCCTCTCCCCTGCAGTCCTTCTCTTACTAGCACAGTCTCTCACTACTATTTTTCAGTCTTTAGGGCACTGCTTTGTTTCCATCTTTTTCATCCTATCTCAGGCTCAGAAGGAATAAGCAGCACACCGGGAATGTGTTACACTTTGTCTAGCCCAACATCTGTCACTAGGTGGAAGATTTTTGTGTGAAGTTTTCTGCTCAGCAGAGCTGAGTGCCCATCTGTGCTGGGACTGCACACTGACACTGCCCAGTTTTGGCACAGAGTGCAGGAAAACAGTCTCCAGCTAAACACCACATTCTTAGCAGCTCAAGACTGAGGCAAACCAATTCCATGCTAAAGACTGAGAGTGAAGTTATGTTATTTGCACTGTTTTCTCTCCAGGACGTATTGTTTTCATGTCCAGCGTCGTTGCCTATTTTACTCTGGGAAATGGCATTTATTCTATGACCAAGGCAGCTATTGAAAAATTTTGTGATGCTTTAAGACTGGAAATGAAAAAGTTTGGTGTCCAGGTAAGTGATGTAATGAGTTATGCGAAACAAAGTAACAAAGATAAAAGCTCAGAAATGCATTCATGGGTGCAGATTCCTTCTGGAAAGAGGTGGTTTCTCTGTGGCTAATCAGTCAGCTGGAAATCACTGGGAAGAGCAGTCTTGGGGGATATTTTTTGTTCTGAGAAGCTGCTGGGTAACAGCCTGTGTGCCAGCACTGAAATTTCCACATCCTCTGCAGTGGAGAAGCTTCCTGACACAGGCGTGCCTGAGCTCCCACCAGCAGCGAGGAACCCAAATGTTCCCTGGGTGGCTGCAAAGAGCCCAGACACTGAGAGCTGTGCAGCCACAACTTGTCACTTGCCTGAGGGATTCTTTCTCTCTTACAGCACCAACTCCTTTAGTGAGAACAGCTCGCTGCAAGAGGCAGCATTGTACAGAGTAGTTATGTTTTTGTTCTCTTAACCTAAGTGGCTCTCAGAGTGCTCTTAGTGCCCTAAGCAACTCTAATAGACAAACCTGAAGATTAGATCCCTAAGTAGCTTCACTGGGCTTTTTCCTTGGAGTCACTCTACTGCTGAAACACTTTTCTCAAACACTCAAAGTCTTCCGTGTCAGGTTTGCATTGGTGTACTGTTTATGTACACAGATTTACAGCATTGTTCATAAGCTTTGTGTTGGAAAATATTACAACTATGCATCTATTAGCTACCCCTGTCAGATAAATATGAGGGCCTGTAAATACAAGTGACTTTACACATCCTAATACCACACAGCATGATGAGGATTTCTGCTGATTAGCTGAGGATAATCTCAAATGCATGGAAGGGCTTAGTTTAACAGGTTAGCTACTCTGGTTGATTTGGGATTTTTGCTGTTCCATCTCTGCAGTAGTCCCAGCACATAAATGAGCGAGACAGGCTGACAAACATTTCTGGAGTATCTTTGAGAGGTATTTTTCTGTTTCTTGCTGTATGCAAGATGCTGGCTGGCACTTGCCTGAGAACCTGCCCTGCAGAGAGCCTACAAAATACAGGGTCCCTTTTTGCTGTGCTCCCTCGCACTGCTCTGTTGTCCTGTCTGTCCTTTCAGGAGAAAGCTGCACAGGGGTGGCAAGGAGCAGATGGAGCTATGGCTCTGTCCCACTGAACTCTGGCCAGGCAAGCTGACAGCCTACAGGAAACAAAGTGGGTGTCTTCCAGTAGAAAGGCTACAGAAAACGTGGGAAGGACAAAAACCAAACCATCTCTCCTTCTTTCCAAGCCAACTCCAAAAAAGGAAGCTTCCAAAACCCTTTGTTAACAATAAACGTGGGAAGTTTACTATTTAGCTGATACCACACGCACTTCTAAATAGCAGCAGAAGGGAGGGCTCCCGAGGATTCTGTGTGACAAACCCGCTCGAGGCAGCATGAAGCTGTTCCAGCTGAGCACACCATCCCTTTGCTGGGCTTTGTCTGCATGCCTCCCTTCTCCCCGTGCATAGGACCTGCACCCCAGTCCTCCTGAGAGCAGCGAATCCATCGCCATGCAGGCCAGCAGGCAGGGACTGACGCAGCTGGGCTGGGTGGCTGAGTGAAGACATCAGGGTTTTATACCATCACAGCCTTCCCAGAGAATGCCTGTCAGATCCCCAAGTCTCTGACACAGCTCAGCATGGGTTTTCCTCACCTTGTGTTGCTGTCTTTAGAAACCAGGTCAGTTAAATGCCACGGAGCTTTTAATGTTGTATATCTACAAATAGTTTGAACAAGGCTGCTGCTAACTGAGGAACAGCATGTGTGCTGTGAGTGCTCAGCCCACTCCAAAACTCCCTGGAATACTCAGAAGGGAGCAGAACAGCGGCAATACACAAAGAAAGTGTGGAGCAGCAAAGGACTTGTGTGCTTTCATTTAAATCTGTGTGTACAAATCTACAGAAATCTGCTGATGGCTTCGGTGTGAGGCAGAGCAGGACCTTTGGTCCCACTGTTCTTCACTGACAAGACCTAGTTTACTTTTAATTTCACCTTCTTGGGGAAAACAGCACTTCTTTCCCCAGGACCTGATAATTTTCTTTAGTGCCTCCTTTTATCCCAAATGGGGTCAAAAATTATCAATCACAGGGCTCTCCACTGAGTGAAAAATCCAAAATATTCCACTTTGGAGATATCAAAGTCATACTGAAATGCTTTGTCTCAGTATTGTCAAAACATTTATACTCTTAAGGGTTGTCCAGCAATCAAAGAAATCTATTGCATTTTGTGAGAGTGTGCTAAGTATTCAAAACAAGAACATTAACATCAGAGTGAAATGAGGAAGTCAAAATGAAGCACCTCTGCAACCTTAAATATTTCACAGGAATATATTTGATTTCAAGTTTCCAGGGTTAAAATTTCAACAAAGCAGCATTTTCTGTCTGGCTGTAGAAAGCTTTTGGTCTGTGTTACTGACGATAGTATTTAATTGAATTCACAATGGCTGATTGCACCTGGGTAAGTTTTACATCTCGCTTTCAGGTCTGTATTATCCAGCCAGGAAATTATGCACGCTCTACAAAAATTCAGCCACCGCTCAGTGCCGAAGAGATCTGGAGTGAACTGAGTGAAGAGGAAAAGGCTGTTTACAACAAGGAGTACGTTCAAGAGCGGGCAAACTTTTTCAACAGCATCCTCAGTGAGGGAAGCACTAATGGCAATGAGGTTGTGGATGCTATGGTGGATGCTCTGACATCTCCTGCACCCAAGGCACGTTACATGGTGGCGAAGCTGAAGGAGAAGGTCCTGGTGTTTGTGTGTGCTTTGTTCCCGACTGTTGTGATGGATTCTGTTCTGTCTTATGCTCTGAGCAAAGTAAAACTTGCATAGCCTACAGTGGTGCTATCACTGACTCAGGTGAGGCAGTTTATAAAATGTGAGAGTCAGAGCTGAATTGAATGCCCCTGTGTGTCAGTACAGTGACACCGATTAACTAGTGCAAACTCTGGAGTCTCCCTAGTCAGAACTGTCACTGATTGCTGGGGAAAAACATACAGGACCCTGTGTAAAATTAAATCATTTGTTTAAGTAACTTTATCTCTTCCCTGTGGAAAAACCCCATCCACTTACGCTGCTTTAGTTATTGCCTGGAAAATTTAATACATCTTTTTCTAAAGCAATAGCAGGTTGTGTTACAGACATGATGCAGACAAAACGGAGCACATCCTACAGGGCAGCTGTACACCTGAAGTCATTACAGCAGAGATGAAAAGCCCTTACTTGTAGAAACCTGAGTAGCTATTTATTCAGGGGTGATAGGAGGAGGTTAAAGCAAAAGTCATAGAAATGAGCATTGGACCTCGAAATACTTGGAATGGAGTTAAATGGCTGTAGCAAGTTAGGAAGTCTTGAAGCTCTGGGCAATCTGGTTAAGTGAAAGGTGTTCCTGCCCACAAGAGAGGGGCTGGAATTTGATGATCTCTAAGGTCCTTCCCAACCCAAACCATTCTGTGATTCTATGAATAATAAAGTTGTAATATAAAAACATTGTCTTGGCTAACTACAGTTCAGCCCTTTTTCAGGTGTTCTGGATAAATGTGTAACAAAGCAGATACATCACAGTCTTCAGAAAACAAGTTACATGTTCCATTTATAAACAAGTATTTAATCCTAAATAAACTCTATCCTTTATCTAATGTTTGGATTAATCAATGTGTTGACCTGAAGTGTAGTGAGAGAGCTAAACACCAAGGAGCCCTATCAGTATACTTGGAGCTCAGAAAGAACATATTCAGGTTTGGCTGCTATTGTAAGGAATAATGTCTGAAGAAAAGAATACCTACTAACAGGAAAGGGAAACATTAGTAACAATTTCTCTATGAGAGTAATTGATCACCGTAGCTCCATTAACACTCTCCTACTAATTGCCATGGAAAAGATTGCTGGTTTACACATACAGTTTTAAATTTGACTTGATTGTGGTATGGCACAAAATCCAAGAACTCTGGTACCAAAAGAACCCAGAAAAGCTGGGATGAACTGTGGTGGCAGTGATAGATACAGGTCAGCAGCACCGAGCATTAGCTTCCCCCATGCCAGGTGTCCCTTATCAAATCTAAGACTCTGCTGTAAGTTGACTCAGTTAACTTTTTCATCTGAAGCAGAAATTGCACCCTCTGCCTGGGAAGTATTTCCTAACATATTTAATTAATTGCTGAGAAAATTTATGCTCTCTCCTGGTAGGTTAATTTGGGCAGTGTGAATCAGAACAGAGGCGAGATGAGCCCACAGAGTGACAATTCCAGTCTCTCTCCTGGTACATTCAGCAGTGGAACAGCCACTGCACATGTCAGAGATTGTGGAACATGTTATTTCTCTTTCTAAATGCTGAACCCATCTCTGGAGCTGGCATTGGCAGGAAGACAAGCCTGGGCTCCCAACTGTTCCACAGACTGTCAATAGCAGGATAATCAGATGATTATCATCCCTCTCCTCATTTAACCACAACTGAGCAAGGCCAAGCAAGGGAACAGGAATGAGGCTTATTCCAGCTGAACCAATCAATTTCTTGTATAGGAGTTCCCCCTGCTTGACCTCAGGGATTTCAGCAGCCCTGCATGGCTTTGGAAGCACTGCTGTCATGCCCTTAGCTGTTCTTTGTGCAGACTGCCCTTCCTCACAGCAAGCAGCACTGGACTCCCCAAGCAGCTTTGAAGCCCAGATGTTTTTCCATCTGTCAGGCCCAGGGTACAAGTGCTGATCTCTGCCCCGTTACACTGTCTCCCTTCTGTTTGCGTTTCTAGAAGCTCCTGCACTGAGTTGCTGAGAGCCAGCGCCATCAGATCTGCCTCACAGACACAGAATAACTTCCAACTGGAAATTCTTTATTTGCTGGGTATGGGGTGAAGCATGTGATCAATATTTCAGTAGCCTCATGTAACATAAGATGAGAAAGACTCCAGAACATTTACTCCCTCACCTTGAAAACTGAGAACTTGCAGTGCAAAGGATTTTAAGCAGGATACAGTGACAGGGTGAGATCTGATGGGACAAATAAGGCAGTTTGTATTTTCATTGCCATCTAACCATCGGCCTGGAAGCTAACTGAAAACCAGCTACAAAATTATCTTTATTTCTTCCCCTTACTTTTTAAGCATTATGATCTGCAGATAAAAAACTAATAAAGAGAGTCAGAGTTTGTTATTAACAGAACATCCCACTGAAGTCATCTGGAATTCTCCCCCTGAGTTCTGTGTGTTTCAAGCCACAGTGTTAGACAAGTAAACATGAAAATAAGTAGCAGAAATAATTTCAGAATCCCTGGGCTGAGTAGAAAAGAGACCCTCATAGGAAATGGTGATGGAAGGGGTGCTTTCCCTCCTCCACAAGTGCCACAGGGTACAGAAGCTGCAGGATCAGTAACAGAAGGCTTTACTGAACAAACCTTGCTAACCAAGCCAGTGATGAACTCCGAGGACTCCCAGAGCTGTCAGCTCTTCAGTGAGCTCCTGCCCTGCTCTGTGGCACTGGAAAGCTCCCCTGACTCTAGGGATCCCAGCCCTCATCCTGGGAAGAACATGCTGGGAGTGCAGAGCTGCTGGACTGCCCCACCATCCCTTTTTACTTTGCCACATCCCTGGCTGAGGAGTGCCTGCCTCTTCCTCAGTAACTCTGAAATCACCTTTACCTCAAGTCAAGTTGAAGTGCAGGGGCATACAAGAAGTCTGTATTTACAACATCCAAAAAAGAAACAGTTTTAGAGAAAATTTAGGTGACAAAGATAAAAGAACAAAACCAAACAAACCCCCCCCAAACCCCCACAACCAAAATTCAATTGACATTGCTCTTATACCTGAAACACCCCTCTCCCAAAACCCAGCTAACCTGCTGCAGATCCTTTCCTGAGACTGTTTTTCTAGGTAACATTCATCTGAGCTGCATTCAACAGAGAACTTCTTGGCAAAACGCTTCAGCTTTTGTCACTATTTGTCTTTATAAGCCTTGCTGACAATTTGGGAATTTTTTTTCCCTTGAAAACAGTCATACCAAAAGAGACTCAGCTTTCTTCCCAAGTCTCTTCTCCAAGGACACAGTATCAGGGACCTAATGCAGTTATTTCATGGATTTTCTCCTTGATGAAAAGGCCTATTCCTAAGAGTGCATATTAAGTGGTAGAAAGAATCGGTGCTGGTTTTGCAAAGCAATTATAGAAAGAGTATAAAGAAGAGTGAAAAAACCTAAACCAGTCTGGCAAGTTGTACATTGATCCAACAGCTTCATACAGTGGCATCAAAACAGAAACAGAGCAGATGCCAGGAAATACAGGAGGAGGAGCTGGGTGGTACCTGCCAGCACAGTCCTGAGGAGGCTGTGCTGCTCCACGAAACAAAGGCTGTCTCAAGGAGGAGACTACTCCCTCCCTTGAGAGGGCACAGTTGGAGCAATGCCCCCACAACAGCTCCCAAGATGACCTTCAGAATTAGCCAAATGTGTAAATTTATGTCATTTTCCCAAGCTGGCAGGTCTGAATAAGGACATTTTGGGTGGAATGCACCACACAGCAGATTTTTTTGCAGTAGCATCAGAATCCAGAGAGATGAATACCAGTGATAATTACTTCCACAGTAAAAAGGCTTAAGTAAAAACCAGGCAATCCTCAAGCACACCTTGCAGCTGACCAGCCCAGCTCCCCCTGATGTCAACAGGACTCCAGGGCCATCCAGCCCGAGAGTCCTTGTGGTGCACAGCGTCCCTCCAGAGGTCAGCTGTGGGACAGCTGCAGCATCGGCTTTGACTTCCACAGAGAAAGCCCAGCACAAGGCAGAGACAGCAAGTGGAACAGGGGATGTAGCTGGATTGTCCCACATGTTCCAGGAGGGACTGTGCAGTGCTCTCAGCCTGGCACCTTCTGCTAGCACCAAACAAAACTTCATAGCCTTTGGATTTTGAATTGGAAGCATGCATTCAGAGTGAAACATTTTCATGTGTAATTAGATGATTTTGGAGCTGCAAAGTGAGCATGCCAGTAATGGGGGCTTTACCTATCATGGAGAAGAATGTATGTTGCAGGAACAATTGAGGTTAATGTTTAAGAGTACATTAAACAAGGGGGAAACAGTAATAAACGTTCCTTGGAATAATCTTGATTTGGACATGATTTAGCAGTGATCTCATTATTAGACACAGTGGGCAAAACCTCTCTGCTGTGGGCTCCACAGATGGCATTCATCCAGGGAACCACGAAGCCGGCGGAGCACCTCTTGGACTGTCCCAGAAGCTCCTTCCTGGCTGTGAGGGGAGCTGCGTGCAGCACCAGGACAGAGCAGCCCCAAGGCTGCCCTAACTCCCAGCACACCAGAGCTCTGGGCAGCACTGCCCTCCGTGAGCGCTCGGCACTGGCACACCTGGGCCCGTGCCAGAGCACGTGGACACCGTGCCCACGCCTGGGCTGGGCCGTGTCGCCCAGGCTCGGCTCTGGGAGCGCCAGGCATGCTCAAAGCTCGGGGCACTTCACACCTTCCCTTCCTTAGGGCACTCAGTTTTTACTGGCACCATCCCTCCTGCATTTCCTGCAGTAGCTTGCACTCCTCCGAGACTGAGCTGTCAGCCAAAAAGAGCCCAGCAGCTTGAGGCTTCAGACCTTAGAATAATTTTCTCTGGTGAGCTTTATTTATCTCTATAGGCAGGGAATACTCTGAATTTCTATAAGAGGATTTTAATCCTATTTATTTTGGAGATGTTTCAGTACCCTAATATACTTTATTTATCTCTATAGGCAGGGAATACTCTGAATTTCTATAAGAGGATTTTAATCCTATTTATTTTGGACATTTCAGTACCCTAATATGAGAGCAGTGCCTCTGCTCTTGAAGCCACTTTGCTTTGAACCATCCAATATGATGCTGAGCTGCTGGAAAAGGAAGCTTTGCTTCTTGCATCATGAATCCTCATTATCACTCTCAAAAAGCTCATGGAAGGCTGATCACCATGAGAAAATAAATCAAGCATAAAAATCTACACATATACAGGTGCAGTTACATGCACATTCACATTTGGGGTGAAATACCAAGTACCCAGACTGGTTGTAGTCTGGTTGTGGTGTTTCCACAACTTCCAGAGAAAAGGCATGCAGATGTTTCAGACAGGATATTCAGTTATTTCCATATTGGACTAAATTTCAAAATACATGTGCTAACTTTTCTAATGGGAATTTAATGCGTGCTGCTCAACAAAGTGAAAAAGAAGAATTTACCCCGGGCCTTTGGCCAAGACATGTGTCTCCTTATTTGTGGCAACAGCAAAAGCAAGTCTTACACAGAACAGGCTAGGAAACATCCTCTACTGTGCCATGTCTGCAACAACCATTTAGTGCAGCCAAGGAGAAAGAGAGGGGCCTGGATGCTACGTTTTCCAAAAAGGACAGCAATACACCAAGGCACGACAGTGCATCACTACCAGTCCAGCCAATTTGCACCACAGAGTGCTAACACGAAATAGCTGCTGAACAAATGGCACTCCTTGCAGGGTAAATAATGAAACTTTATGCTAAAACAATGTTTTTTCTTGTTGTGACTCACCACACAGTCCCATGGCTTTCATCAAACGCCTTTCCATGCTGTTGGACATGCATCCAGCTGTGTCACCACTTTCCTGGCAGAAGAGATTTCACATCAAAAAACAATTCTTTTTTTTTTAATTTTTTTTTTTAAATTTCCTAACGCTAGAGGTGATTTGCAAATAATTCAACAGCCAGGCTTGGCCAGGAACAAGACAGGCAGTGTGGCTGCAGTTATCCCATGCATACATGGCTACTGAGCCTGGCAGGAGCACTGAGGGCTGGGCTGGCAGTGCATTTGGGAATTCGGCACTAAAGGAAAAGGACGGAAAGGAGATGCAGAGCTCGGGCAGTCCCAGGGTTAGTTAGTGCTGCTGCCTTTTAGAAGGACTTAGGCTTCACTTGACAAGCTCTGAGCGTTTTCCCCCGTTCACTGGCAGTTTTCTGCCGTTAATACAGGTTTCTCTATCCAACTGACTGCCAACGATCCCATTTCCATCCAAGCTCATTTACATTATTGTGCTACACAAACCCTGGGGGAATGGCCGGGCAGTTGGGTGATGATACACGAACCTTGCCACTCCATTTTTGTGGCAACTCCAGAAAAGTCTGGAGCTGAAACAACCACACAGCGTTGCCTCTTCCCATGGGGGAGCAAAAGGAGGCTTGCCGAGTAAGTCAGCTACAAGCAGAGAGAGCCCAGGACACCCAAGTCCTTCCCGAGTGCCCGCCTCACCCCCGGCGGGGCGCTGGTCTGTACCGAGCTGAGGGGAGCCGGTGGCACTGAGGGGAGCCGGTGGCACTGAGGGCACCAAGAGGACGCGGTGGCCCTGAGGGGAGCCGGTGCCGCTGAGGGGATCCGGTGGCGCTGAGGGGAGCCGGTGGCCTTGAGGGGAGCTGGTGGCCCTGAGGGGAGCCGGTGGCGCTGAGGGGAGCCGGTGCCGCTGAGGGGACCGGTGGCCCTGAGGGGAGCCGGCGCCGCTGAGGGGAGCCGGTGGCGCTGAGGGGACCGGTGGCGCTGAGGGGACCGGTGGCGCTGAGGGGACCGGTGGCGCTGAGGGGACCGGTGGCGCTGAGGGGACCGGTGGCCCCGAGGGCCCCGCCGCCGAGGGGAAACGGTGCCGCCTCACGGCTCCCAACCGCCGACGCCGTTGCCAAGGAGACGGCCACGGCGACGATGGCGGCCGCTGAGGAAGGCGGGGGTCCGGCTGCGGCCCCCGAGCCCTCAGCGTCCTCCTGCTCCTCAGGTGAGTGCCCCGGGCTGCCGAGGGTCGCAGCCGCCGCCGCTGCCGGGCGTGGTGGCGAGAGGGCGGCGGGGCTCGGGCCGCCGCCTCCCGGCGCTGCGGCGGGGCTGGGGCAGAGCCGGCGCGCTGTGAGGGCTGAGCGCAGCCTCGCCGGGCACGGGCGCGCTGCACATCGCCCTCCTCACGGCCCGCGCCTCTCGCCGCTGGCATTTACCTCCGTTTGGGTGTCCGCACGGCCAGCCCGGCGCGTCCTTGGCAGGGAACGCTGTTTGGGTCATCACCGGCTCTCCAGCATCCTCCCCTTCCAGCAGTTTCTCTCCCGTTAACGCCAGTCTCCCCTACAGGCCGCCCGCTCCTCTAAGTCGCAGTCCAGGGAAAATAAACCAGCCCCGGCTGCTCACCCTGTTCCCTGTCCCTGGGCGCAGCAGCACCTCATCCCCGCCTCCCCAGCCCTGCAGAGGCTGCCCCGGAGCCCAGGAGCCGGCCCCGAGCCCCTGTCCCCGCAGGTGCTGCTCGCACAGCGGATTGCCAGGTGCTGGCGGCCAGGGCTGCCTGCCGCGGGCGGACTGGGCTCCACTGCATCCCGCTTTGTGGATACTGGGGTGAATGGAAGTTGCAAGGCGGGCTGAAGACAAAAGGATGCACATCTTTTGGTCCAACCCAGCCATAAGCTCGGAACTGCCTTTACAGCACCCAGGACTGGGCCCTGTTTCCCAAAGGACTGGATCTGGGCTGAGGTCTCCACACGACATTGAAACCTGCTCAGTTCAGACCTAAGTGCCCATCACTGTGCTCAGCTGTGCCTCAGCCCAAGGCAAGGCATTACGGGAGAATTAACACCGTAAAAACACAGCATTATAGGCTATTCGTCATACTGGAATTCAGTTTTAGGAAGATTTTGCTGCATCACTCCTATTAAACATTAGTCACAGCCAAAAAATCCAGTGCAATTATTCACATAAAGTTGTAAATATAGCATGCCATTGTTACCATATTGGTTCCTTTTATACTGACATACAGGGCTCATGCTTATCTCTGTGCCCAGCATGCAAAGGGATTAAATTTAGAAAGTGCTCAGCTATTTTCTCCCACTAAAGATAAAACACATGAAAATTTTGTTTACTGGTTTGTGAATAGTGATAATTAAAGGGATGTTTTCAACGGGAAATGTTGAAACTGACAAACGTTGCAAACTTTTAAGGTGGAGTCACAAGTGCTTCCAGCAGCAGTCAGGCAGCGGGCTTTGCCTGGGAGACAGGGAATGAGATCACTGGCCACCAGAATTCCCTCTCTATCAAACTACCTCCATCACAGCTTGGAAAGCTTTGTGGGAAAGCAGGAATCCGACTAAAATGATTTTCTTAATGCCAGGTGTACTGAGAAAAGGATTAATCTGGATTTGAAATGAGTTCATGCTCTCCATCAGAACAATGACACAAGCTGGCAGAATGAAAGTAGCTAGAAGTAGTTGATGTTTGTCAACAGATAAAATTGTTGCTAAGCAAATGTTACAGGCTTGGGATTTGTGGTTCCAGCTTCATGAAGCCCTCCCCAGAGCACAAAAGTCTCAAAGCCACACTAACAATCCCTCATTTTCCATTCAACCATCTGTTATAGGTGAAGTGATAAAAAATCTATGAAATGCACAGGGTAGTATTTACTTAATGCAAATTGACAAGATGCTGCAGTTTTCATTTTAGAAGCCTTTTTCCCTTGCTTATAACTTTAAATGACCCTGGGTAGGGTTTTTTATCCCACCTGTCTTTCTTTGATGCTGCTACTTTAGAAACTTCTAATAAAACCTGATCCAGTCACTTTCAACAAATGCTGCAAAGAAATATTAACTGTAACAGTTAAAATGTTATGGTTGTTTTCATGGAAATTGTTGGTTCTTAATGCTTTGAAGCAAAGACTTTAAACTGGGTAAGGATTCAGTGGTGGCTGAATTGTGATAACAACGGACTTCACTACTGTGATAAAAATAATTTCTCTTCTGCTCATGGAAACTATTGCTGCATGTGAAATATTAAAATAATACTGTAATAAGCAGCTCAAAAGCACCAGAAAAATCTGATCAGAACTAAAATGGTACTCAATTGTGCAGTACACCGTGAGCAAAAATGAAAGCATGCAGTAAGTGTAAGGTGTGCCATCAGTCTCGTGTCCAGCATGGGGCAGAGGTTATAGGGAGCAAGTATCCAAGGAACTCCAAGATGATCCATGAAATAAATCCAAATCCATACATATTGAAATTATATCCATTTGTTCACGTTTGTTCATTGCAGGTTAGTTACTAACAGGTTTTTACCAAGCGCAGTTCTGCCCATGCTCTGTGGCATTACTAACCTATGTCCAAGGAGAATGTCACTTCTTCAGTGTTTGCTGCTTCAGGGGGAGAAAGAAAGGAAGAAAAAGCAAGTTTTCATCCTAAATGAGTTCCTAAAAAAAAATGCAGGTGCAAATCTGGATGACTAACAGTGGGAAGAAAGTTTTTTGGAAGTAAACCAAAGTTCCTTACTGCTGCAGGATGGTTTGAAGTGGAACAAATGCATAAGAGAACATTTAATCTAGTCAGTTCCATCTAAGTATCTTTAAAAAACATTTAAGCTTGTCAGTTCCATCTAAGTGTCTTTCTTTTGCTGAATTTCAGTGGTGTAAGTACTGTAAGAGCCTTCCCTGCAGAGCCTTCCTGCTGCTCCTCCTCACAGCCCCTGCAGAGTTTGCATCACAACTTTTCCTGTACTCAGCAGCCAGAAAAAAACTTCCTGTATTGAGGATTTGCTCAGAAATTGCTTCAGGCTCCAAAGGGCAGGCTCTGTGGGGACTCCAGTGCTCACTTCTAGCAGGGCATTTCTCTGAAGTACCCTTATTTCTCAGCTCTGAGCTTTAGGACTGCAGGGTTGCTGTAGGTGTAACTCCTGTCCGCAGGATAAAAATCTCTGCATTTATTCCCTTTCACTGGACAAAATGCCACAGGAAGAGCAACATGGTAGGGATGAGAACGAACAAGCCACAGTGACAGATTTAGGTTATTGCTACCTAAAGATTTAATTGTTTGATATAAGAATATACTTTTTTGTGATCAGAATGAGGGTTATGTAATACCTAAACAGAAAGGGATTTAAGTAATGCCATGTTTAGATGGAGAACATCTGAGAGCAGCTGACCTATTCAGACCAGGTTTCATTGCAAAGAGAAAGTCTTTGCATTTTAGTACCCACTTCTGCAAGGGAGCAGCTCCTAATAACAACACCTTCACCCAGCATAGCTGCCTGCACAGGGAGGGAGCTGCGGGCCTTGTCTGGCAGGGAAAACAAGAGGCACAGTCCTCAGAAATCTGCCAACAGCTGACCCAATCTCTGCTCCAAAACTAGGCTGGACACAGAACTTCCAAAGAAATGAAAGGCAATAGCTACAGAAACTACAGCTGGCAAGTTGTACCTGTGCTACAAAAATCACCTCTCTGTCCATTCCCAACATGATTCACCTTCAGTCATCTTCTTCTGCTTTTCCTGCAGTTTTCTCTCAGGCTTCCTTTCCAGAATGGGAGGTCTTGCCTCACAAAGTCTGTTGGAATTGTGCATCCTTCTGCATCTCTCTCTGCAATCTCCCCTTCTCACAGACATCCACAAAGCACCCAGCAGTAGCCAGGCAGATGCTGGGTGCTCCAATTTACAGACTACATTGCAATAAATTAGAAACCCAAACAAACCAAGCCCCAAGTGTTCTCTAACAGATGTTCCTTCACCTGTTTGTGTTGCACGTCCTGTAAGAGTTCTGGAGGATGGGCTGACCCAAGGCTTGCTGAAGCTGATAGGAAGCTTCCCATCCACTTAGGAAAGCTTCAGAAATGGTCCCTACAATGTGTGACCCTTCCTGACCCTCCAGCCACGAGTGCTTTTAGCTTTTTTAGCTAAAAGAGGAAAAAAAACCTAAAAGAAAAAAACCAAAAAACATCCAGAATTGAGGCAAGTGCAAAGTCCTGCACTGAATTTTTTTCAAGAAGCTTGTGATGCATGACCTGGAAGAGCCTTTTCCCAGACCAGTGCCCTGCTATCTGTATTTTTTTTTTTCTCCAAGGGTTTTGTTGCAGAGAAATTTGACTTACTCTTTTATGTACACAGCTTAGCAGGAAGTTTATGCATCAGCTACCAGATAAAAAACAAAAAACAAAAAACAAACCAATAAATGGGGAAGGTGCTCAGGCACTGATGAGATGATGTTAGTATAAATTTTAGCATCAATTTTATGTTTCAGCAAGTGCAGAGGACATGGTGTCTTGTGATTTTTTCCCCTGTTGAAAATAACAGATGAACAGCCTCCCCTTAGGCTTCCAAGTAATTGTAGATTATAACAGTTCCTTGAATGGAGAGAAGTTACCCTACAGCTTCTTAACTTAATTTTCTCCTTGAATGAGACCTCTTCAGAACAGTAGGATGACTAGAAAGAAAAATGTAATAAGGTGCTACTTGGGTTTATATAGTCTCTATATGTGCTGCCCACAGTAACACATAAATTAGTTCAAAGCCTGGTGTTCTGTCCAGGTAAAGTGGATATTTTCATGCTGTGAATATGGTCTGATTCCTGATTTTACTGGCATATCATTATAATCTCACCTGTGAGATTACATGTTTTCTTTTTCGTCCACGCAGAAAGTACTTCCTTGAAAGAAGAAAATCTTCCCTATCCTGGGATGCTACCAGTAGACAAAAGACTTCTAAACTTACAGATCTACAAACTTCTTCAGTGTGTTCACGAGAAAGACAAGAAGCAAATAGAAAATCTGATCCAGAAAGGATTCCCAGATCTCATTAACTACACGGAGCCCAAGGAAGGATATAGTGCCTTTCACGTGGCCTCCATGAAAAATGACATTGAAATGTGCCGCTTCCTGCTGGAACACGGAGCTCGCCCAAATGTCCACGACAACATGGGATGCACTCCAGCCATGAAGGCAGCCGAGCTAGGCTATGAGGTGATTTTGGAATTATTAGCAAAGGCTAACGCAGACATGACTGCTGTGGATAATGAAGGGAAAGGTGAGTGAGAAGGAAGTACCACAAAGCAATCCCTTAACTGTGTGACACACTTACTACACGTGATGTGTCCTGCCTGTGGAGAGGAACTGTGCTTGAGGGTTATCCTTACAGCCCAACAGAAGCTGTGGGCCATAACAGCTTTGATGAAAATGAAAATAATTCTCCCTGAAGAGTCTAGGCCTTCAAATCATGTCTCCCCAGTAAGAGCGGCTTGTAAGAGAGGTGGCTTATAACTGAGACTCACATTCTTCCCATGGCCTGTGGCATACTGAGCTCTGGTTTAATCCTCAAGTAAAGTCTCAGAAGTCTTTTTTGCGTGGCCACACCCTCAGTGAAAGGGTCTCTATTGCAGGCTGGTCAGCTGTGAAGCTCACAGTCTCACAACCCTTCTGGTAATCTCCTTTTGCACCCTAATCCCCACTGTTTTCCTTTGCAGGTATCTTGTTTTACTGCCTTTCACCTACAGGACGCCACTCCCACTGCCTGCAAATTGCCTTCGAATATGGTGCAGATGTCAACAACTGTACCACTACTGGGAGGTCAGTGCTTCTACAAGCCTGTGAGCAAGCGCATGAGGTTAAAGAAATATGCCTGATTTTCTTGGAGAAAGGAGCAGATCCCCATGCAAAAGACCCGGTATGAGACTTTCTGTAACTAAGAACAGATACAGGAGTATAGAGCAGAGTACATGACCTTAAATCCTCACACTAAAATAATAAAGCAGTGAAAATTGCTTAACTATGTGGCCATACCTCTTCCCCTCTTCTGTACCACCCTTTTTTTGGAGGAGAGAGATTTAAGTCTTTTGGATTTTTGTAGGTTTAGAGTGCAAATATTTCCCCAAACTTAAATGTAACTGGGTCAGCTGTTAGGAGCTGCAGTTCACTGTACTCCAGTGGAGCAGTGCTGATTTGTATTTGCCTTGATGTGTCCTTAGATTTTCAGAGTTGAAGTAGTATTCACTAAAAGTTATTTTAGTGAATAATATTTGTTAAAAGGTAGGGAAAATATGATGAGCAATCAAGGCAGGAACGAGGCATAAGGAACTTTTTCCTCTTTTGGATGTCTTAATCATTTATTTGTTTGCTTCCTTAATTTAACAAAGACCTGAAAGACTGAAGCTCTGTGCTGTTGATGAATCAAGAAGCTCAGGCTTTCCCTTGGAGTTATCCAAAGCAAACATCCATTATTATCTAAGAAAAGACAACATTAATGTATTAGAGTGAACTTTTCCTCACAGAACCATAGTGAAATTCCCTGGTTGCTTTGCCTTTCCCATAGCACTCCTCCAGCCATAGCTCCTTATGCTCCTGTTTTTGTAAGCTGAGGCAGTATTTTGTGTTAGATGTTGTAAATACGCATGAGAAGATACCCACAGAATAGAGGATTCCTTAAGTAAGGAGCTGATTTTCATGGGCATTATTCAAGGGACTCAAGCCTTCAGTGTACTTGAGTTGCTGGCTCTCTCTCAGCAGCGCTATGAGCAGATTCTGAACGCTAGCTGCGAGTACCTTGGACGTTGTAAGGCTTGTCTGCTCGCAGCAGTAGCCACAGGAGCCGCCAGTGTCACGGCAGCCCGGGTCAGGCGGGGGCCCTGCTGTCCCCGGGCAGCGGCACAACCGCAGCGCTGTCCCGCCGCCCCGCAGGCCACGGGCCGCACGGCCGTGATGGAGGCGGCGCGGGAAGGGGCTGCCGAGGTGCTGCTGGGGCTGCTGCGCAGGGGAGCCGACGTCAACCTCTTCGACTTCGAAAGACACAGCGCTGCGCATTTCGCGGCCAAAGGAGGCTTTTTTGAGGTATTAACATTTGTGCTGTTAAAGCCTTGCTGCAAAGCCAAACCTGGGTGGGTTTTTGTTGTCACAGGGTTTTGATTTGAGTTTTTGGAGTGTGTTTTTGTTGGGGGTTTTTTTGAGTCCGTTATCTCAGCTGATCAAAGCATAATGATCGGTAATCAAAAGCAGATTCTTTGTAGGTATCAAAGGGATTCCAGCAGTGATAGATAGGCCCAGACAGGGGCTCGCAGTGAGCTGGCAAGAAGATTGTCCTTGGTGTCTACAACTGCACAAGGTTTCTGGTTTCATCAGTTAAATAAGCATAATACTCTAGAAAACATTAATGTTATATGTGCATTGACCAGCTGGACTTGGGAGAAAACTTCATTATTAGAATGGGAATGTAAGATATTGCATTTATTAGTAAATCGGTCTCACATTTTCACTTGTTAAGAACGGACAAGATTTTTGGTGGAACTCTGTTTGTTTTTCTAGATTCTGACGATTATTTCAGGTTATGGTGCAGACTTGAAACTGATTGCTATGAATGGTAACACACCACTTCATTATGCTGCAGAGGGAGGATTTACGGATTGCTGCAGGTATATAGGACAAAGAGGTACATTAAAACTAAATTACTTCACAACTATTATCTGTATTTTATTTCTGTGCTAAAGGAAAGATTTCATCTGGGTATCTCTGAAGGATTTGACTCTTGGGTACCCTGTAACAAAATTCTCATTCAGAAGGGCCTAACAGAGGCTCTTATCTCATGTGGATGAGAAAACATTTCTCAAAGAAAGCAGCAGAAACACCAGGGGTTTGTATAACTTAGTGTTGGACAGTATTAAGTGGTTCTGGGTTTAGCTGGGTTTAGATATATTGTGTTGAAACTTCTAATAGAAAATACATTTTTGATTTGATGATCACTTAAAAACAATCTCTGTGCAGTCATGAGGAAAACTTCATGGCCATGGGTATTGAAACATGCCCTGAAGCAGCTGTGATCCTTTCCTGACTTGATCAGATGAGCATGGCACTTCAAGCTTTGACCCAAGAGCACCATGCAAAATCCCACATTCTGTTCTTGTGATCAAACAAGTGATCCATTGCCAAATTGTAATGTTGGGGCATAGAAATAAGTGACACTTTAATCTTAGTCTGCTTCTTAACCTTGCTCTCCACTGCAAGTAAAAACGTAAAGTTTCCTCTGAACTTCTCCTTACACATATTCTTGAGTGGATAAATAAATAGAGCATGGGTTGCTCAATGCTTCTCCCTTTGGGAAAAAAATACAGACACGTGTCTGACCTTCCAGCCTGGGATCAATGATGTGGCTCCACCTACCACTGCTATTTATATAAAATTGTAGGCCTGTGTATCGCAAGTTTCTTATTTTATATAATGTTAGCCATATTGCGTCCGTATTTCTAGGCTGTGATCCTACGTGGTCAAACTTGGCAAATCTGACCCCAAGGGATGTTGCCAAGCTGGGTGGGTTTAAAGCAGCAGCAGCAGTATTGCGCAAAGCTGAAAAAGCCCTAAAAAAGCCAGATGAGATCCTTGCCTGGTACCTGAAGGTGTACGACTGGTCCTTGCAGCACGAGGATGCCATCCGCAAGGAGTTTGAGACTGACGAAGAAGGAGATGGGATGGTATCCAGAAGTGATTTTATGTCAGTCATTCGGAAGCGCTGGGGCACCGTGGATGAGGAACAAATAGAAATTCTTGCTAAAAAGCATGAAGTATCTACTGACAGGATCAGCCTTGATGATTTTTTTAAAGGCTCAAAATACCTGCAGAAACCCTTTCTGCTATCATCCTTTGGGCCCAAAGCAAAGAAGAAGAAGAAACCGCAGAGAAAGAAAGGCAAGAAAGGCCTCCCTGTGCCAATTTGTGTAATCCCAAAGAGTGAACGCCCGCTGAGGGAAGATGGCTTCCCTACCTACATGGTTGAGGCTGTCCCAAACATTCCTGAAGAGCAGCGTTTCAAACGGGCCCTCCAGTCCGTCCATCCCGTGTTCGATGACCGTGCCTGGTACGCAGAGGAGCCGAGGAAATCCCTCATGGATATCAACTACCTGGTCAGAGAAGGAGACTTTGTGTCTCTGCAGAAAGCCTTCCACCAGGGCGTGCCAGTGGACATAAAAGATAAATATTACAAAACACCTTTGATGGTTGCATGTGCAAGTGGCAACATAGTTCTGGTGGAGTTTCTTCTGGAAAAGGGGTAAGATAATTTCAATTTAATTGCTGTTTTGGGAAGGCTTTCAAAAGCATAAATATCCAGTAAATATTTGGATGCAAAAGGCTATGGTTTGTTTTTTGCTTACATAACATTTAATATTAAAGTTAGTTCCCTAAGATCTCAAGTCACAGGGGGTAAGTTTATTATTTTTCACATTTTAGTAGTGTGGAAATGAAAACAGCAAGTTCCCCAGGACTGAAATTTCTGGTGTCTGGGCTGTTGACATTGGGTGAGCAGCAGAGGTTCATACCCGTGTCTCAAGTGGTGCATCTTCACAAGTGAACTCTCAAAACTGGGAAATTATTTTGGGGAAATATGACTCAAAGGACTTACCTGAAGTCATCGAGGTGATCCTGGACTTTCTTGTTACACATGCCTGGTTTAAACCTTCTCTTTCCTCTGCAGCTGAGGCAAGCTGAAACAGCAGGATTTATATCAGAAGCACCTGCTACTAATTAGCCTGTTCCTCATTTTAGAAGTGCTTCAGCAATTCAGTAGCCTGCAGACACACTTGTGAAAAATCTCAATGGCAGCTTAAAAATGAAAGCAATTTCAGAAAGATTCAGTCATTCTTGTGTAACAGCGTAATCTCTTATTGTCAGACTGCTGTGGTCCTACAATCCTTCACATAAATGCTTAAATGAACATTTTTCAAAGATATTTACGTTAACTCTGTTCTCTCTCTGCTATACATAGATAGAATTCATGTTCATATTAATATCTCAGGGAAAGGGGCTGTAGTCATTGCTCTGGTACCTGCAAAGACTAACAGCACATGGATCTTTCTGCACCCTGGTAATTACACTGACATCCCTAGAGCATATGGAAAATTGGGTAATGTGTATATTCAGGTTTACCAAAGGTAAAGATGTAGGAGCTACCAAATTAATCCACCAGATTAATCTCTACTCCTTTTCCCAAGCCTCAGTAGACAGCACTGGAGTCACATCCTATTTAACAATAAGACCTAGAAACACAGTAACTTAGCTGAAAAAATAGTACCGGTTTTGAGATTTTTTTCAATTGACAGAAATTAAAATGGAGAGGAAAGTTCTCAGTAACATTTAGGTTTGCACCTCTCAGCATCATGGGCTTGCAGTTTGGCACAGGCATCCAAATACCTTTTACAATATAACCTTTTCAGTACAGAACCACAAATCCACATTGAATACAAAACAAAACATTTATCCAGATAAATGGTTAACATTTATTAGGTTGAAATTAAATTGGTGGTATCTACTTTCTGTCTTCCTTCAGAAAGAATTAGAAGTAAATGAAATTTGGTCTGATGGGAAATTCTGTGCTTCGCGGGCAGAAAATGCCAAAATTTTTAAGTCAGTGCTGCATTGTCCCTGTTCCCATTGACTGGTTTCTTTCTGATAGGATGAAGTTAGGAAAAAGGGTTCAGGGGCAGACAGAGTCTGAGTGCAGGCAAAGAGGTTGGGTTGAGAGAAAAAGTGAAATAACGGAAGGAGCTTATTTTAATGAGAATGAAAACAAATGAAAACTGCATACAAATAAACCACAACAGATTAGTGACTGAAAGATAAGAGAGATAAACGTGGTAGGTCAGGGGAATTTACTGTGCTAAGATCTCATCAAAGAAATTCAGAAAGAAATTCAGAAAATTCTGAAAAAGATAAAAAATTTAAACAAGGGAAGAAGAACAAGTGAATCTGTGCTTTTATTTAGACAATCACCTGACCTGAAGAGCAAACAGCTATCCCTGGAAGCAGCTTCCTTCATAATTTTTCTGCTTTCTTTCTTCCTCCTTGTCTTTTGGGAAGACAGCAGCTTTTTGTCCACCAAGTAAGTGGGACAGTGTCCCTAACTCCCTTCAGGAGTTCCAGGGCTGAGAGTGCTTTTCCTCCCAGTTTCATCCAAAGGCAGCCTATTGCAAGGATCTCCCTGAACTAGCCCTTGCTTTCTGCAGAGCATCCCGGTTTTAATTTGGGAGCAGAAACAGATCCTACCCAGCAGCACAGTAGCTGAATAGTTTTTGAGTGCTCAGACTTCCAAGGAAACCTTGTGAAACGGTTTGTGGAAGGGAGAGGCCAGTGCAGAGAAATGAAGCAGGCAGAGGGCAGCAACACTGAAAGGAAAGGTGAGCACTTCCCTCTCTGCAGACGAGCTCTGCAGTGCTGCCACACGTCCTGTAGCCCCTGTTCTTGGCCCAGAAGTGAACTTTTTGAGTTCCTTGATCTGCTTTCTGCCATTCTCGGTGAAGCTGGAGCACAAACACTAGCAGCCTTTTACAGGACTAAGGTGTTTGAATGCCTGTGTTTTTTCCAGTACCCATGAAAAGCTCCATGTGAAGGACACTGATGGCTCAGGGGGAGACGTGAGCAGCACCCAGGAACATTTACAATTACTATTCCATGACAAATTCAGGGACTCAAATGGGTTCAGAGTAGCAGCAGCAATATGAAAATAGCTATTTACATTGAAAATACCATTGCAGTGGGCAGTTCCAGCTGCTTGCACTTGGAGCTGGGGCTGTTACTGTGGGTACCCACAGCTTCAGCTGCCACACCTGCTCTCACCCTGTGCAGGGCTGATGTAAATGCAACAGACAACTTCCTGTGGACTCCTCTGCATCATGCCTGCTATAATGGACACCTGGATATCGCTGAGGTGCTGGTGAAGGCTGGAGCAGCCGTCAATGCCCCTGCAATAGGTGATGCCACCCCGCTGATGAGAGCCATCGAGGCCTGCAGGCTGGACATGGTCTATTTCTTAATCACTGCAGGTGCTGATGTCCAAGCTATAAACAGCAATGGTAAATAGCAATGTCTCCAAAATAGGCTGTTTCTTTATTAAAAGCATCTGGAACACTTGGAGAACTGTTCTGCGTTTAGGGGTGCGGTCAGGATTGGGATGAAGGGAACAGGTTTGATATGAAGTCCCCAAAGTCTTATGAGGTGACTTTGTACCTAATTGAGGAAAAAACTTTTAGGCTTTTTTTCCTTTTTAAAGAGACAAAAGATAATTTTGTCACTCCGTCAAAAGAAAGCACATTCCTACACAGGTTCAGTTAGTTTTCTCTAGTCTGGAATCATTATTGAAAAAAGGCTTTCTTGGGCTTTGCATATCTAGAAAATGAAGGAACATGATTAATTACTCAATTCAGGAGACTGTTACTCCTCACAAGATGCATACAAAGTTATAAGTGGCTTTAATGAAAACATTCTATCTAATTATTATTATTTGAGGGAACGTTAGATTTCAGCTGTGGCTCAGAGTATAGTCTGCCACTCATTCAAGTGATTTATATTTAGGCACAGGCAGCCCTGGTTACAAAACTTGCTTGCTGCTCTACATGTACATATAACTCCTGAGAAAAAATATTAAACAGAAAACCAAATCTGAGCCGGTACTGAAATGTTACCTCCTCACAGCAGATCCCTCCTTCAGAGTTATTTCCACAGTCTCCAGAGTAATTTAAAAGTTCACATGCATCACCTTTCAAGCTCTTGCTCTAACATAGGAAGCAACACTGCTGCTCAATGAGGCTTTCCTTGCCAAAATGCCTAGCAGTGAAACCCTGCTTGGAGAAGGGATGTGTACTCCTTATTTCTTATATCATGTGGAGTTCTGATTCACACAGCAGTTCAGTCTCACAGATATTTCACAGCCAGGACAGATATTTTTCATTCATTAAGCACTGAAGCTGCTCATTTACATCAGGAGGCTTTCCCTTGCCAGCCACAGAGCAAGCACAGGCAGAAGGAGCTGGGCAGCACAGCACAAGGTCAGGAATGCAGACCATCTCCTAGTGCTAAATGCTCTCAGCTCTCAGAGATCAAAACGACAACCTGTAGGACCAGTGTATTAAGCTGCAAATGGCAGAACATTAAGAACAAAGCAAGCAATACAAGAATTCCTGCAATATTCCTGCAAAACAGGTTTCAGGGCTCGTTTCTGCCAGGTTTTATTCCTGCAGGCAGTGCTGATGACAGCTGGTCCTCACACCAATGTCAGGCAGCTGCTGGCACACGGGGTGGGTAATAAAATACTGGCCATATTCAATTCAGTTGATTGTCCAGTTGCAATAAACCAATGCCAAAGTTAATTTTCTTGGTTTACACAGATATTTATTTTTTTAAATACAGGAAAGAGTGCTCTTGATCTTGCTCAAGTATTTGAAGATGATACAATAATTGAACTGCTCGAAAATCAACTGCAGATTTTGGCAGAAAAAAAAGAAAAAGAAGAAGCAAAGCCAGCAAAAGGTGGGAAGGCAAAACCAGCAGAGCCACCGAAACCTGTGAAGAAGGAGGTATGAGGGATGGCAACAAAGGACTGATTTGCTAATAGTTAGCAGGGAGCTTCCTCCTTTCCTTTCTTTGCCACCCGTTCCTCTCTAATGCTGTAACTTGGGCAGCTTTGTTAACGTGAGTATTTTCAGATGCCTGTACTTGTTCTTGTGAGTATTAGAACTTGTTTATTGGCTGAAATTTGTCTTGCTAACTAGACAAACTTCATGTCTTCCCCAGACACACATCAGAATGATGTCCTGTATCACTATTGAACACAGAAAAGTATTTCCTTTTCTTTTTCTCTCCTCCTGAAGCATATGCTCATCAGGCTCTGTTTTGGTAAACACTGAACAACTGGTAACCATAATTTCTTAAACGGAGAACCTCTTTTTTCACAAGATAAAAGCAATACCCTTCAAACTGGTTAAAAGGTTTTTTATTCTCCTAGTTGAACTCACTGAGACAATACCAGGCTTGCTAACTTCCTATTTTCCATTTTGTCCCATATCCTTCCTCTTCCACTATTTACCTGAGTTGTTTCTCAAATCCCACACTGATGTTTGTCTATTTCTGAATGCTTTTCCTGCACCCTCTGGGAGTCTTGAGCACCTCAGCATTGCCCTATTCCCAAGCTGACACCAGCCTCCATGACCACTGCTGTGGATGAGACCTTCCTGATTCACCAGTGGTACTTTTAGTCACATCCAGCATCTATTTAGGGAGAAGATGAAATTTTATCTGTGTGGCTGGAGGTGTCCTTCAGCTGCCCTGGACAGTGCAGTAAATATGTCCCAGTAGCTAAATGTTGGCATTCCCCTTTCACAAAGGTTTTGAATGTCAGGGACAGCACAAGACTTTCAGAGGGAGGAGGATGACAACCTTAGGTGCTTGTTGATTCCTCACTTGAAAGAGGATGGGATCACCAGTGGTACAAGGTGACTGACTTGGGAATCACAGAGAGAAGTTAATGTTTTAGTGCCCAAGGAAGAGAGGTCCCTTTTGCCTTTCAAATGGGTGGCCCTTGCAATTTTTGATATAAAAAATCAGCTTTGACAGAAATAGGTTCTGAAGAGATTAAGAAAAATACTCCCCCAGTAAACATCGTAGCAGAGTATCAGAAGATGCAGGATGCATGCCTTGCTTCTGAACATGATGTATTGGTATAATTGGTACCTTCTTCCCCTTCAGTCTCCAGATGTGTCTCCACCACCTGAGGAAGAACCTGTTCCTGAAAGAACAAAGCGTTCCCGTAAGGACAGTTCTGCTTATTGGAAATCTTTGGCAGCGAGAGAAGACAAAAATGACATCTCCTTCAGACCCAGAAAAGTACGTACAGCAGCAAAACGTGATTGCAGTTCCATGGTAACTTAAAGGTGGACCTTGTGAGATCAAACCCAGAACAATGCAATGACATTTCCAGCATTCAACCAGCTTTTAGTTGACGTGACACAGCCTGGCGAGATTGCCACCAAACAAGAGTAAATTAAAGAGTTCCTGGATGTATATTATATAATTACACAAATATATATATAAAAAACAAATATTTGTGGAAATCAATCCCTTATCAGATTTTAAAATTGGATTTAAGGGGAGCCAGAGTAAAACAAAAATGCAACTACATTTATGACATGTATTTTTATACTCCTGCTTTTAAAAGATAGGCATCTATTTGCATAGCATGGGCACCAACCTCTAACTTGCCCTGTTGATTAGTTATCACATCATGACTTTTGGCAGTGACAGTTACTGAACTAGATGGATCACAGCACACTAAATATTTGCTACCTAGAGTTGGAATAGTGGAAATACAACTTTTGTGTCAGGGTCTTGTTAATACACGCTTAGAAATAACTGAGAAGCAGAGCAACATAATCACAGTGAGGTAATTTTTGTAATTTTTTTTTCTCCTTAAAAAGGAAAAGAACGCCATTGAGCAGCTGTGTTTGGAGTTTATCATTTCCCTAACCCTGATTTATGCTAGTATCTACAATGGTCTCAGAGGACTGAGGCTACATAGCTGATAACTCTACAGCTAATTACTGTTTTCCACTCTGAGGATCGTGAGCCCGAGTCAGTAATTTTAAATAATTACCTTAAGATCTTCTTTCCCACATTATGTGTAATCGGAGTCCATGGCATGATATAGATTGGAAGTGACAACAAGAGATTCTCTGTTTATACACACAGAGTATTGCTGACCTCTCTTCTGCTGGGAGGCCACACTGCTTCTTTTCTGTGTCTCATAGTGGAAAGCAGTGCTAGAACGTGGCTCTCTTTGGCTAACAATATCTTCTTAGTGCTTCTGTTGCAAAAGGCCCATCCAAATTAACTACACAAACCTTTATTTTGTAGATATGGAGCCCTGATGCCACAGCAATGCAGCTTGCAGAAAAGCGAGAATCGCTCCGAGAACGTGCTGCTCTTTGTGGTCACATGAAAGATTTTACAACCCTCTTCAACAGAAAATTAAAGGAATAAGCACAGCATCTGGAAAAAGCTACTTCAGCTCATGTTTGGAGGAGACAAAGATGTAAAAAGCTACTCCTTTGCAAGGAAGGAATCGTGCAGTGCTCAGTAAATGTATCTTGGTTACCATAAAAGAAAAGCATATCAAGTTTTTCCTCTGTAGATTATGTTGCTTACACACAATCTTTCGTTGAGGGCTTAGTCTGGAAAAAGATTTATCTTCATGTGATGCTAAGTCTTGCAGCTGGCTCATATACTTCATGGAATAGCCACTGTTGTGACACACACGTCTTTTGTAAAGGTGTGGCTTTATAAGGCTGTCTTCACCCCAACACAAAACTCCTTCCTGGAAGATACATTATCCTTCTACTCTCTATATATAGATGTGAAGATGGCATCCAGTAATTAGCTAAGTCAGCAATGTTCTGAGTTGTCTGCAGAGGCAACAGGGAGTTCAGAATTTATGACCAGGACTATTCACAGTGCCTAGTGTACTTCCTTCATGTTCTCCCATTCATTTGCCAAAGTGCACGTGAGACCTCAAACTGCTTCCACCCCAACGGGAACATATTGTTTTCCTTCTGATGTCTTGAAAGGATAATAATCTCTGTGTAATAATCTGTAATCCATTTGCCATGTCTCCCACAGACAGTTGTTATCTCTCAGATGAAGGAGGGGTCTCACAGGGGTGCTGATGGAGACCTGCACTGCAGAGTTCCATCCACCGAGATCATCAAGTCCAACCTTTGACCACTGTGTCACCCAGACCATGGCACTGAGTGCCACATCCAGTCTTTCCTTAAACACCTCCAGGGATGGTGACTCCACTGTGGTGGGTACCCCATGTGTGGAGATGCAAATCTTGACTCCATGTTTCAGAAGGCTGGTTTATTATATTATGATATATATTATATTAAAATGCTACATTAAAATTATACTGAAAGAATAGAGAGAAAAGGCTTCATCAGAAGGCCACAAAGAACAGGAATGGAATGCAATAACCAAGACTTGTGACTCTCAGAGTCCGATGCAGCTGCATCTGTGACTGGCCATTAATTAGAAACAACCAACATGCACCAATCACAGCTGCACCTGTTGCATTTCACAGCAGCAGATAGTTATTGTTTACATTTCTTTCCTGAGGCTCCTCAGCTTCTCAGGAGGAAAAAATCCTAGCAAAGGATTTTTCATAAAATATCATGGCTACACTCCACCACCTCCCTGGACAGCCCATTCCAATGCTAAGCCTTTCCAAGAAGAAATTCCTCCTAATGTCTAACCTGAATATGTCCAACCTCTTCATTCTCCAGGTAATTTTTCCTAGGCTCTTCCAATTTGCCAGATGGGGTTATTAACAAACACTGTTCTGGGGCATCCAAAAACGACATCACATTCATTGTTCCAAATTTTTTGCTTCTAAATTCTTTCTAAGAGATTTATCTTGCTTCATCATTTCCTGAAGGACCAATTGAAGCAACTGATTCATTTTCCATTCCCTCTGAGCCACTTCTGGTTCAGCAGCTCCCGGTGAGCCTTCGTGAGAGCTGCAAAGCAATAATGACCCTCTGAGGGTTGTCCTGACTTCAGGAGGAAAACATTCCAGCAGGTCTGGACCCCACTGATCACTGCACTGGAGCCAAGGGAGCCTTGTCTGTCTGTGGTGCCAGTTTAACATTGTGACCCACATCTGCAGCTGGGTAACTGAAGTTCTTGTTAACAGATCCCTCGGGGGCAATCAGAGCAAAACAACATTGAATGACCAGTGTGTGATTTTTATCTGCCAGCATAAAACTTCTGCTGGCTGCAGATGATTGTAAATAACAAAATAGTAGAGCGTCAGTCAAGTCCTAGAAGGCATTGTGGGCAAGGAGCCCATGAACAATCATAAATGAAACTGCATCTCTGAAAGAAGGAGAAGCAAAGGGGCAATTTGCTGAACAGTAGCCATCAAAATAAAATCAAGCAGCAGTCAGAAATTATACTGTAAGGTAAAACTGTGTTTCTGGCAGAGCTCTGTCATGGAGATTACCTAGGAAAGTTCACAGCCTTCACATGTCCAACGAGGCTTTTCCTGGTTCTTAGTACAAGGTTGAGCAGCACACCATTCCTTGTGGGATCCTTTATTACCTGTGTCAGGAAGGGATCATCAAAGCTTTCCAGGAACCTCCTGGACTGTCTGTACTTTGCTGTGTTGCCTCTCCAGCTGTCAGTGTGATTAAAATCCCTCACAACAGGGGAGAACCAGGACCTGTGCATTGAAGCTGCTTTGAGCATGCTGCATTGTGGCATCACAGTGGTGATGGAATAAGGAGGCTGTGTCCTGTGCAGGACACCCACTGCAGTCCGTAAGGGATGGGGGAATAGGAAAACCTGCTTGGCCTGGAGGAGGCAGAGCCACCCCCAGCTCCCCTGGCCATCAGACTGGCCTGGGACAGTGTGACACAGAGCAGCACTGCAGGCACACAGCCCCTCAGCCAGGGGCAGTTCTTGAGCAGCTGACATCCCAGCTGCCCCTGGCCCAGCAGGCCAAGGACAAGGGAACAGCAAGGTGTGGAGTGCAGCTGGGATGCTGGCCGAAGGCTTGGCAGGTCCGGAAATGCCATGGCAGGATCCCCAGGCTTGGTGAGGCAGAGGCAGACAGGTCAGCATATTCTCCCCCTCCCTGCCCACCCCGCGGGCCCGGGGACAACGGGCTCAGGTGGGGCTGTCCTCACAGGGCAGGCGGCAGCTGCCAACATCGGCTACCATGCTGGCCACCAGCACGCGGCTGAGTGCGAGCGGCTCAGGAAGGCCAGGCTGCGCGTGGAGAAGGCCATTAAGGTGAGGGGCTGGATTTCACACTGCCCCGTGACGGCACATGCCCGCGTGTGTGCACCTGTGGCTCAGAGAGCCGAGCCAGAGCACTGGGGTGGGCAGGCTGAGCTCGCTGCTCTCCCGCAGGAGAAGAAGATCTTCACAGTGCACGGCCCTTACCCCGTCATCCGCCGGCTGCTGCGCGCCCGGGGCTGGGTGGAGAGGAAGCTGCCCCTCAATGGCAAGCAGCTGAAGCAGCAGCCTGGCGACCAAAGGAAACAGCAGCAGGAGAAAAGGGCAAGTGGTGGCGGTGATGAGCAGGGGGAGGCAGTGCTGAACCCGCGTGGTGGAGCACAGCCTTCCTCGGGCACCGCAGAGCCGCTGCAACACCCATGCTGCACAGCACACGATAAGGAGAACAAGGAGGAAAGGGAAGATGAAGACGAGGAGGAAGACCAGGAGCAGTGCAGTGGGGACTCTGAAGACATCCATGACCTCATGGTTAGCTAAGAGGGCTAGGGCTGAGCTCTGCCACAGCTCCCCATATCCTCCCCTGGGACCCTCAGGGGCAGGGCACAGCCTGGGGCGAGGGGATGGGGGCTCCCTGGCTCACCCTGGCCCACTCCCTCCTGCAGTCCTTCCTGGTGCAGGACCAGGTGCCAAACTTCCTCTGGACCATTCGCCTGAGCAGCGTTGACCAGGAGCTGCTGCCAAGGATTGAGGTGGTGAACCGCTATCCCCAGCTGGCCGCGCTTTGCACCAAGGTTGGAGCACAGGGGCCTCTGGGAGGGGGCACAAGGGGTGGAGGGGTCCAGAAGGGAATGACAAGCTTCTCTAAACAGGAGGGGCTGTGCCAAAACCTGCAAAACTTGTCCTGGTTTGAGCAAATCGACTTCAACACCTTTTTCCCCCGGTGCTACCGGCTGGGGTTCAGGGATGAGGAGGAAGCATTCACCGGTGAGCGTGGGCTGCTGCCCTCCTGTCACCCCTCGTGCTCCAGTCTTCCCATGTCCTGTGCAGGACTGGCTAGGGATGATGCTTGCCTCTTGCAGAGGATTTCTGCCTGACAGCAGCTCGCAGCCTTCTCAAACTGGCCCTGCAGAAAGTTGGAGACAGGCCGGTGGGGACAGAGCAGCCCCCAAAACCCGATGAGGTGCCAGGTGAGTGCACAGAGCTGGCTAAGTGGGGTGGAGGTGAGTTCAGGGTGTGTCTGAGGGCTGAGCTTGGTGGCTGAGCCTCTGCTCATGTCTGTGGCTTGGGATCCCTTACTCCATCCCCTGCCCTAGCTCCAAAGGCACCTGTCCCACAGGAAGGCTCAGTGCTTCAGCCCCAAGGCTGGCATAGGAGTCACGAACCTCACCCCATGCTGTCCACAGCAGGGCCGCGCTCCCCCCTGTATCCCCAGCTGGTGGAGGAGGCCCTGAAGGTCTGTGAGCAGCACCTGGAAGTTCTGAGGCACCAGGACATCGACAGGAACACCCCATCGCCCTGCCGCACATGCATCGACTGGGACCGCTTCCTGCTGGAATACTACCGTGTGGCACGGTGGGTGCTGAGCAGGACAGGGGCAGGGGGCCGGTTGCGGGGCCGGTGCTGACCCCCTGTGTCCCTCCACAGTGAGGGGACCGGGCCGGTGCTGGGCAGGGAGCAGCGGCAGCGGTGCCAGGACCTGCTGCAGCGCCTGGAGGAGAAGCTGCCTCAGCTCGCCATAGAGGGTAACCTCAACATCTGGATCGTCAAGCCCAGCGCCAAATCCCGCGGCAGGGGTAAGGCTGGGGGAAGCACGGGGCACAGACCTCCCCACGAAGAAGGGATCCCAGCATCCCTGTGTTGCCCAGGCATCGTGTGCGCGACGCGGCTGGAGGAGGTGCTGGAGCTGGCGCAGAGCTGCACGGGCCCCCCAGTGCAGGTGTGCGAGTGGGTGGTGCAGAAGTACGTGGAGCGGCCGCTGACCATCTTCAGCACCAAATTCGACATCCGGCAGTGGTTCCTGGTGACCGACTGGAAGCCACTGACTGTCTGGTTCTACCGAGACTGCTACCTGCGCTTCTGCTCCCGGCCCTTCTCTCTGTGTCACCTGGAGCCGTGAGTGTCCCCCCTCACCCCCGGCTCACGCTGCCCAGCCCCCGGCACCCCCTGACCCAGCCCCGCTCTCCCCGCCCCAGCGTGTCACCTGGAGCCGTGAGTGTCCCCCCTCACCCCCGGCTCACGCTGCCCAGCCCCCGGCACCCCCTGACCCAGCCCTGCTCTCCCCGCCCCAGTGCCAGGCACCTCTGCAACGTCGCCATCCAGAAGCGGTACAAAACATCACAGCCGGACCCCCGCGTGCCCCCCGACAAGATCTGGTGCAACAAGCAGTTCCAGGCCCACCTGGCACGGCTGGGGCGGGCGAATGCTTGGCAGCGGGTGACGGTGCCCGGCATGAAGGCGGCGATCCTGAACGCCCTGCGCTGCACCCGGGACCAGGTGGGGTCCCGCAAGGGCAGCTTTGAGCTCTTCGGGGCTGACTTTCTCATCGGGGAGGACTTCCAGCCCTGGCTGCTGGAGATCAACTCCTGCCCCACCATGAGCCCCTCCTCGGCGGTGACGCGCCGGCTGTGCGCCAACGTCCAGCGGGACACGCTGCGCCTCGTCATCGACCGCAAGGACAACCCCACCTGCTCCATTGGTGCCTTTGAGCTCCTCTACAGGGAGGTAGGCTGGGGCTGGGGACAGCCACCCCCCAGGCACCCGAGCCCCCACTGCCCGTTGTGTCCCCCTGCAGGCAGCCGTGTCCTCATGTCTGACTGTGGGGCTGAAGCTGATGGTCACAGGCTGTTCCGTGAAGAAGCCCCAGCCAAAAAAGCATCGATCCAAGGACAAGCTCCCCACCACTGTACGCAGAACCCTCCAGCTCCCTGCACCCTCAGGTGACAGAGCCGCCAAGGTCCCCTGGTCCAGAGCGGCACAGGAAAAGCTGCCTCCCCTGGAGCCGCAGTGCATCTGCTGCCTGCCCAAGTCTAACCCTCCAGCACTGCCACAGCCCCCGGACTGCTCTGCTGGGAGCCAGGAGCTGCCATGGCTCCTTCACCTGGTTGGGCAGCCCGAGGAAGCTCAGCCCCTGATCAGTAGCTGTCCCATGGATAGAATGCCAGGACTACCAAGCCAGGGAGACCCCAGGAGCCCCTGGCGGCCCCCAGGCTACTCTGCTGGAGACCAGGAGCTGCCATGGCTCCTTCACCTGGTGGTCGGGCAGCCCAAGGAAGCTCAAGCCCAGACAGCTTTGCCGCCCAACACCAGCTGTCCTCCGGATAGGGGACCTGTGCCACTGCCCCAGGGAGCGACCAGGAGTCCCTGGCTACCTCCGGGTGGTTGTGCCAGGAGCCAGGAGCTGCCATGGCTCCTCCACCTGGCTGGGCAAGCCGAGGATGCCCAGCCTCAGTTAGCTCACACGCAGGAAGCTCAGCCCCCGATCAATAGCCGTCCCCTGGATAGGCTGCCCCCGCTCCAGGAAGCGCCCAGGAGGCCCTGGCGACCCCCAGGGCCCGGGAGCCGTGGATCGGCACAGCTCAGCCGGCCGGGTGGGCAGCCCCAGGCCGCTCGGTCCCGCAGAGTTCTGCCCCCGATCAAGGCCCGTCCCCCGGTGCGGGGGCCTGTGCCACAGCCCCGGGGGGCGCCCAGCAGACCCTGGCGACCCCCGGGCTGTGCACGGGTCCCTGCAGGAGTTCCTGCCAGGCCAGCGCGCCTGCCGGCGCTGTAACAGAGCACCGCACCCCAGCCCCTGCCGGGAGCAGAACGCGCCAGCTCCCAAAGGGGGTGCAGGACACCTGGGACACAGAGACACCCCCACGAGGCCACAGCGTCCTGCCCGTCCTGGACGGGCTAACACAGCAGCACCCGGCTGCCTCCCACGGGAACCAGAGCCCATTGCTATGCCGCGGTAGCCACCTTAACCTGCGCGCCTGCTTTAATAGACTTTCGTGAGAAGGAGCCTGGCTTGGACCTTCTGTGTGTGGGAGACGTGGACACAGCTGGGGATGATGCTGCAGGCAGGACCTGGGGCTGCCAGGGCAGCTGCTCTGCTGGGTACAGACAGGAGGCAGGAAAAGCTGCCTCTGCTCCTGCGTGCCTGCGGTGGCCCCTGCCGGACAGAGCTGTGCCAGCGGTGACATTGCTGCAGCCCGGCACGGGGAAGCGGTCAGGCACGGAGTGCTGGGGGGGCTGGTGCCCCCTGACACGCCAGGGGGATGGCAGGAGGAATCCCATCCTGCGGGCGTGCCAAGAAAAGAAATGAGCCTGGCAGCGGGTGGGGATTAATGGGCTGGCAAGCCCCTGTGGGCTCCTGGGGCTGCTCGGATGTACAGGAAAGGACAGGGGGGCGTGCAGTGGGGCCCTGGGGCAGCACCAGCTCCTGCAGGTTCCTTTTGTGGCAAGGTTACCCACCTTGTTACAGAATCCCAGAATGGGTCAGTTTGGAAGGAGCACAGTGGGTCATCTGGTGCCAGCTCCCTGCTGCAGCAGCGTGATCCCAGAGCACCGGCACAGGATTGTGTCCAGGCAGTTCTTGAGTGTCTCCAGGGAGGGACATTCCTTAGTCTCTCTGGGTGATCTGTTCCACTCCAGTGTGGAGTGAGTTCTTCCTGACAGCTGGAACTGGCACTGCCAGGGCAGCTCCCGTGCTGGCAGAGAGCAGACAGGATCTTGTGGCTCCCCAGTGCTTGTGCCCACCAGGCCCTGTGCCTGCTGCTGCCCCAGGGATGGCTGGGCCAGGCCTCTCCTGGGCTGGGCAGGCATGGTACATCAGCTGCAGAAAAAGGCTGGTGCTTCTGGCAGAGGTCTGACATGGAGACTGGAGCTGGGAGAGTTCTCTGCTGTGAGAGCCAGCTCCTCAGGCCTCCTCTCTGTGAAAGTTCTTCCTCACTGGGGAACTCCTGCTGCATTAAGGTACAGACAGACCATTTTCTGCTGGCTGCCTTCATCAGGGCCACTGTGAACAAGTGGAAGACAACCTGTATGCAAGGGGAAAATCAAACCTGGCCAGCAGCAGGGGCCATCTCCTGCATCAGTTTGGATCATGTGCCCATATTGGTGAGTAGCTCCTGAAAAAGTTGTTTGGCAGAACAATAACTGAAGGGGTACCATCTTCTGTTCCCCTAGGAAAGAAATCCTTGTGGGCATCACCCTCGTGCCTTCTCATCCCACCCAGAAGGGGCTGCAGATTCTCCCAGTCTTCACATGTTGTTCCACACAAAGAAAGGGAGAAGAGCTGACTTAATTGGCATTTTGATATCTACCACTCAGTCAGAAAACCCAGTGCTCAGGAAATGTTTTTGCATGACTGGTTAACTCATTCAGATGCCAGTGGCCCAGAGGCAGGAGTTGGAGCAAACAGAGGGGCTTGACTGAGTCAGAATGAATCCTTCAGGACTGTCCTCGAGGGTGGCAGTGAGGATGTATTTAGAAACTCTCCTTGTACATCAGAAGTGGAGTAGGAGAGTCTCTTGCATGAAGCAATGACAGCAGCACAGGAAGATTTTAGGGATGTGAGAGCAGGTGTCACAAGGAGAGTCAAAGGATGAAGCTCCAGAACTCAAATGACATCAGCAGAAATAAGGGTGTTGAACAAAGAGCTGGAAGCAAGCTGTGAGAGAGGGAAAGAAACTGTGCTAATGGACTGGTTATGGAAAAGCTGAGTGATCATTTGGTGGATGGTTTCAAAGGGGACCAAGGGATAGTCAGAGAGAGATTCCTAGGTAATAGAGGGGAAAGTCTGCTCTCCCAAGTGACAGATGCTTCTGGGAAGCTGAATCAGTTGTGTACCAGAAAGTGTACTGAGAACAAGGAAATATGCAGGTAGGAGTTCAAACAGATTACTGCTGTAACTCAGTCTCTTGAGATGGGTAACACGAGCAAAAAATAAATCAAAGGGGGAAACCAGTGCAGAGAAGTTAAGCAGAGAGCAGCAACAACAAAAGGAAAGGAAAGATGAACTCTGCACATGTACACAACCTAAGGCCAGAGGAGTTGCATGCTAGTGCTGGTTCACAGTCAGGCTGTCATCCCACTTTAGGCACACTTTGTGATTTGCCTTTGAAGTTCAAACACTTGTGAAGCCTCCAAGGATTGTTTCAGTCTAACAGAAGGACCTCGGGCTGACTGCTCTTGCTCCCTCAGAGTGCTTCATGTCCTGCTGGGTTCGTGCACACCTGATTCCCTGTTTCATCCATGCCCCACCCAGGCAGCCCTCACACATCTACCCAAACCACAAACACACAGCGAGTCCCTTCGTGCAGTTCCTTGCTCCCAAGGCTTCCCTAAGCCTCCCTGGAGTTTCCCCAGCCTGCCTCTGCTGTGGCTGTTCCAGGAGGAAGATGTGATCACAGTTACCTCGTGCTAGCAAACAGGACATCAAGTCATCGCTCTGATACCACAACAGCTCCAGTAAAAGGCACAAAATAACATAAACATGAGAACAATCCCTCTCACCTCTGTCCTCAGATTAATCTTACAGGCATCCTACATCCAGTACGTGTATTTTGCCCAATTTATCATATATTTCACTAAGTATGTATTTATGACTGAAATACAAGAACCTGCTTTTTCTTCCCCATTTTAAAGACATTTACCATTCAGTTGGGTTTTCCTGAAAGGCAACTTGCAGCACAAATGTTGTTCTAGTCCCAGTAATCTGTGCTCATACGCTAGTGGAAAACAGACAAAAATTCCACAAAGTGGAATTCTTGGGCTGCTCTAAGCACTGTGGAGCTAATAAATATATTTACAGCTTAGGACTTTTGAATGGCTCCTGAATAACCCAGCTTTATCAATTGTTTGAGACTGAATCCCAGGAAATTAAATTTAGCATTACTACTGCCACAAATCTCTTGCCATAGCTCCAAGGAACACCTCATTTATAATATCAAATCAGTAAGAGGAACTGTATTGACTTAAATGGGCTGGAGGAAGGAGGATTTCCTCATCCCTAAGTAATGGCTTCACTTCCTGCTCCCAAAATGAGCTTGACTGGGGCAAGGCTAAGTCACAGTGTGTTGGCATTATAGGCCATGGAGACCTCATGGAAGAAGGCAAGGGGAAAAAATAAAACAAAGTGGCAGAGTATTTGCTGAGTGTGGCATTACAGAAGGATGGGGTGAATAAATCCTCTCCTACTAGCAGCAGTGCCTGTACAACCCAACAGCTGTTCTGTGGCACAGGGATGGCAGGGGAATCAAACACTCTGGAGCTGCTACAACTGCTACAGGCTGTGACATGCTGCTTACAGGAGAAACAGAGCCCAGGGACCCCCAAAGGCAGGAGAGCTGTAGAAACACAGAAAACAGTCTACAAACAGGAATCTGTTTTGTGCAATGCAGCTCCTAGCTGCTGACTAAGGATGCCAGAAGAAGCCTGGCACATCGTAGGGAATTGCTGTTGAGCTGTACAACCATTACACAGGACAAACAGAAACATTCACAAGAGCCAGAAGTGGCTTCAAATTGCCTATTAATTCTGGATGCCTGTCAGCAATTGTTATCTGATGGGCCAGAGTGAGCGGGCTTCTTCTACGGAGGAAAAAAAAGAAATCACATCTAACCATTACTTAAAAGCAATAGCTAAAGAATCATTTCATCATGACTTTCATCCCCTTTGCCGTTTAGCCCCCCTTCACAATGGCTGGTTCCTCCTGGCAGCACACCCCTCTCAGCTTGCTGGGGCTCCTGGCCCCGTTCTTCCCCCACCACTGACCCTGTCCCAGGCGAGGGGGTCGCGCTGTGAAGGTGCAGGGTCCCCTCCCAGCCGTGAACTGCCAGCAGCTGGGGGCAGCCCCTCCCAGCTTGGACACTCAGTGCTTCCTCCTTGTCACCGTGTGGCTCTGAAAGCTTTAAAGCTTTCCGGGCTGAACAGATTTGAATTTATTGGTAAACAAGGAATATCCACCTTCTGAGAGTCAGACCTGTGTGCACGGACAGGCACCATCCGTGTTTGAAACGCTGATTTGCATCTTTGTGTAAATGAGTTTGCTGGGGCCAGGCTTGTGCAGTGTGCTTTCAGTGTGGGAGGAAGCTTTACCTGAATGTAAAAATATTCGGTGAAAATGAATTTCAGAGATGCGTGTTGCTCTGCTTACAGAAACCAATTTTAATGTGACCCTTCAGCAGTGACAGCAGGATCTGAAAAATGCCGAAATATGTAATTTTAAATAAAATTTTCATGGGGTATGTAATCAAAACTTTAAAACTGACCATTTTCTGTCAGGCTCAAGATAGGGTTATAAATTTTAAAAAAAAATCAAAAACCCAAACAAAAAACCAAAACCAAACCCAAAAAAGAAAACAAACAAATAAAAACCCCTTCATGCTTAATATCTCTGTTCTAACAGATTTTTGAGACTTACCATCAATAGTTTTCACTAGAATGAATAACAGTAAATCTGTGGGCTTTGGGCAGTTCTGTGTCCTTGAGTCTATTGGCATGCTTACCCAGTCAGGGAAGACAATTGCTCGTGACAGCTCTGACCCATCCCCACCAAACGCCTGGGCTGCAAGGCTGAATGTTAATTGCTGCCTGTTCACAGGGAGTGCTTGCAGGGCTTGGGAGAGGCTGCATCTCTCCAAACGGTGACAGAAGAGTGGCTTTGGTGTAAAGCCCCACTGAGGAGCTCTTTTTGCTTTGGTCCTGCTGCTAGCTGGGAAGCCTTGGGGTGCCATTACACATGTGCTGGGAGCAGGGTAAGGCCAGATCCTTACCCTGCTAGATTATTTAAAATCCTGCCTGAACCCTCAGAAGTGTTTTCTGAGAAGTCATGAACACCGTTCAACCCCCCACACCTCCCAGTTTGTTTATCTCACACTCTGCCTGGGGGCTTGGCTTGGTACCATGGAAAACATGCCTGAGAGCAACAACCCTGTCTTTAGTTTATCCTCAGCCACTGACATTTACAGTCTCAAACTCAGCTGCAGCAAGAAACTGTGGGAAGGAGGTCCTGAGTCCAGTTCTGGTATGGAGCTCCTGATCCAACATCTGCTTGGGAATCTTGTGTTAAAGGGGCACTAGAATAAAAAACAACAACTAGGCAGGTCAAGCTTTAGTACCACACCTCATCAGCTGCCTCTCCTTCATGCTTTGAAGGGCTGCCCATTCACTCCCTGCAGCTCCCTTCCTTCTTATCAGGAGCACTGCAAAGGCCTCCTAAGAGTGTGGAAGAAGGAGGAGGAAGGATGGCACCCTGGCAAACACCATCATGGCACAACAATGCAAAAAGACCAATCTCCTTTCTTTAGTAGTAAAAAAATGCCTTCTAATTCCAAATTCTAATTACGCTGCAGCAGCTGAGACATCAGTACTGTTTCACTGGGTTCTCTGCTCAGGGTCCTGACAACATTCAGACATTTGCCTGGAAGCAATAAACTACGCCAAAAAAATTACAGCACAAGTGAAAGGCTCAATTGAAATTCACATCCAAACAGGCAAGACACAGTGCCAAGGCAGTCAGCAGCCTGGTGGATATTTTAGGCGATTTAATCCTTCAAATATATGCCAAATATCTACCTGCAAGTCCTCAGCAGGCAGCTTTGCTTCAGTGAGGGGTTCACTCCAAAGGAAGGTAAGTGTTGGCGCCTTCCTTCCCCTGGACCTTCTAATAACATCAAGTTAAACAAATATTTAATACTAATAAATGCAATACAACACAAATAACTGGATCCCTAAGAATCCTGTTTTGGGGAGGCTCCCCGATCCATAAAGCTGAATTACTTTGTGAGGAAATCACCTGTGTTTGAGGTCTGCTCCTGGGGGCTGGGGCACGGTGGTGGTGATGGCACAGGGGGCAAAGGGGCAGTTTGCCCTCATGCCATGAATAAAAGTCACCTCGGGGGAAAGATCCCTCCACAAGGCTTTTGCCTCGGCTGAGCGAGAGGGACCCAGCGTTTTGCACGCTCTATTTTCTTCCCAGCCCTGAGCAGGACCTGGGGCACAGCTGTCAATCTGAGCTGCTTTTCGCCTTCCTTGCCAATATTTATCCGCTGCATTTTCCCTGTGGCAGGCAGCTGGCAGCAGACAGGTCCTGGTGCAGAGCACGGCCGGAAGGACAGAGCTCTGTTTGCATCCCTCCAGGTGCCGCAGGGTGCAGGGCCGAGCCCCGGGGCACGCGCAGCAGCACCGCAGGCTGCTCACCATCGCTTGGAGGAGGGCTTCTGCCCGGCTCCGGCCGCTGCTGCAGGGTTTTCGCAGCAGTTTTCTTCCGATCTCTGCTGCCCTCTGGTGATGCGCAGCCGAGGCAGAGACCAGAGCCCTCCTGAGCAGCCAAAGCCTCGGTCTTTTGCAGCAAAAACTCGCTCTCAGCCTCATTAAAACCCCAGCGTAGGCACAGCGGGTTTGATTCTTCTTTGTCCCCAACACAAACCCTAAAGTCACTCGGTGAAGGATTTCTTGTCTAATAACACCACGGGGATTCACTGAGAAGTTAATTTGTCCTTATTACCTCACGTCAGGTAAATACTGGTTTAATTTAAAAAAAAAAAAAAAAAGGTAGGATGAGGGTTAAAGACACTTGAATTTCTCTCTGCATCAGGAGCCATTCTGGGAAACTTAGCCCTGCTCCATCCACTGCTGCTTACAACCCCACATTTAGATTTCAGGCATCTATTTTCCATCACCAGCTCAGGGAAGGGTTACCTCTGACAGGGTCTTGCCCAGATCCTGTGCAGAGCTCTGGGGAAAAACCCAGGGGAGTATATTCTCTAATCCCTGCCAGATGCAATTTCCAAATGTTAAGACAAAAGCTGCCTTCCTTATAGAGATAAACACTGTGGCAAGCGAGCAGGGATGGACCCAGACTGCTGCATATTCCAACAGGCTTCCTTTTCTCCCGAGCTCTGCTGTTCCCATCACCTGCTGCAAAACAGATCTTTAAACCACGCACAGACTGCTCTGCCTCTGCTGCATGTGCTCAGACCAGTTGGGAGGAGAGGAAAAAAGCCCCATTAGGCAGGCTCCTGGCTGAAGAGGTAGATCTGCTTCAAGCCTGCTCCTCCGCTGCCTCTCAGCATCCTCCTGGACAATCTCCATGGCTCAGTGCTGCTCCGCAGGGCCCAGAGGGAAATGCTTCCCTAAAGCACCTGTCAGAGGGCTGAAAATTGCCAGCAGGCTGTTCCTATGCCACTTCACTTGGTCACGGTAGGGAGGCAATGCAGCCGTGTGGATAACACACCGACCCAGAAATCCAGCCCCTTGTTTCTCTGCTGCATCTCCAGGAACGAGCGCTCCGTTCCTCGATGCTTGAATTTCCACCTCTGCAAAGCGAGGGCATCTTTTCCCCCGTAAAGCAGCGTGAGAGCTGCTGGTAACAAGATTTATGATTATTGAGGAGTGATTTAGTACAGCTTTTAGATCCTGCTCCATTGATTTTGCTTCACAGACTCGGTGGCTCCTGCCACTATTACCGGTTAACTCGCGCCGGCCCTCCGGTACCTCCTGGCCGTGGTGTTTGTGGAGGAGGATGCTGGCACTCAGAGCTGCTCAGAGAGCCATGCTCACCAGGGGATTTACGGTCCAAATTAAAGCTTGGATATAACCTTTCTTTTTGTATTACCCCCTTGGACAGGGTGCTTGCAACAAGCATAAACCACAGCCACCAGTATCACGTTTAACTCATGCGATACTTAAGAGGGTGAAACAGCTTTCTCTGATAAGCCCTGTGAAAAGTAAGCGGTGAATGTAGATCCTAAAGTAGGTTACTGCTCATCAGTCCTGCTGTTTCTGTGACTTGTGGCCAGTTTAACATCCCTTGTGAGCTCTGCTGCCCTGTGCTGCCCTGCTCTGCAGTCCCAGGGAAGTGATGGATTACGCAGTGGAGGGTTTCTCTGAGCTGATGCATATTTTGATCCATAATGAGTCATTTTAAACAACTGTGCTGCAGAGCAAAGGGAGGTGCCTTGTCCAGGTCACGGTGTTTGGGTTTAGGTGAGGAGGTGGGTTAATAGCAGGTAAATGAACTTTCTGCCTCCAAAACTGTTCTAGGTTGCATTATTTGGATAGCAACAAGCAATTTTCCCCTTAGTAAAATCTATACCGTTTGGCTCAGTGGGATTAACAACTAACAATTCGAAAAAATTAAAAAGCAAGCCAATGTGGCAGAAGCAGACTGCCTGATCATCCTGTGTGTGTGGATGTGTCTGAGCACAGGAGGGAACAAAGACCTGAGTCACCGAAGGGGAAGGTCTCAGGAAGCCCACGTCAACATCAAATCATTCAGCAGCACTTCTGCTTTGTTTATGCAGTTCTCATTTGGCCACAGTCACAAAACCAAGTCTCCCTTCAAGTAGCTGAGCTGCCAGTTTGTGGTCCAGTATGAAACAGCCCAAACTCAGGGTGAGTGCTGCCTGTGCTTTGCCTCCCTGGTCCCCCATATCTGAATTAAACTGGGTAGGTTGGGAGGCAATGCTGCAGGATTTTCCATTTCCTAGTCCTAGCAGAGACAGCAAGCCACCCCCAAACAGATCATCCTACCCTACTGCTGCTTTAAAACCCAGATCAAAACCCAAGCAGGTCAGTACTCCGTTTAGACCCAAAAGCCAGGTTTTTTCCTTCGAACACTTTTGTTTTACTCCAAATCCCATTCAAAAAGCCACACTGGACAGACAGTGTCTGCAGACAGGAGACATGAAAATGCCTTCGCCGTGAGGGGAGTTTGTGGACATTGGAGCCTCTCTACAGCACCACTGGGCCCTTTGCTGTTCAGGATGCAAATAATCGTCACTGCACTGCACTGACAGATTTGGATTTTCATTTACTTGGAGAGAATGGCCAGTCCTTAATAAGGTAATTAAAGGTCCTCTTTAATAAACCAGCACGAGACATTTTATGTCTCCTGGCTAGCGCCCAGTGTAGCCGAAGTTCAGCTAAACTCGCTGACAAAGGAGCATCCGTTGTACCTAATGTTTATTGACCGGTTCTGAAAGGGTCGGCTGCTGCGGGGATCCTCCTGCGAGCTCGGGGCTGCTGGGGCTGGCTCCGCGGCTCGGCTCGCTGCGCCCTGCCGGCGCTCGGGAGCGCTTCCAGCCGCGCGTCCCCAGCCAGAGACCATCTCTCCCGCAGCTCCCGCAGCTCCCGCAGCTCCCCGCTCCCATCCCGTACTGCGGCAGCGCCGGCAGCTCAGAGGGAGCCTGGAACTGCTCCGAAAGGCCGGGCTTATCGCCGCTCAAACAGCGCTCCTCCTTACGTGCTGCGCTAATTAATCTATCACAGGGGCAGCACACGCTCATTGACCGCCAGCCCGCCGGAGAGGGGCTGGGGGAGCTGTGATGCTGGAGCTGCTTGCTTTATTTAATTCCAGATCTTTTTGCCTCCCTACAGCAGCAGCCTTCTGCCTGCGCCTCTCTGACGCTCTCTGTCACAGCCCCAGGCACCACAACAACTTTGATTTCTTAAAGACAGACACAAACTAGGTTTGTGCTGAATTATTTTTACCCATAGATATCACAGATGTGAAGACAGTACAAGGAGCGAGAGTGTTTTAACAAAACCAACCTGCCACACCTCAGCCCCAGCATTTCAGGATGCCTGTGAATAATCTGGAGATTTCAGGTCAACCAAAAGGCTGTTAAATTGTACCCATGAGGATCTCTTTCAGAATTTCTAGTGTAGCCGGATTCCAAAAGCACAGTGGCCTCTCACCTGCTGTCATTTTTGCTGGAAAACAGTCTCTCAGTTTCTGCTACCTGCTGTCATCCTTCTTTTGGCTGTGCTTTATCCCTCATGCCCTCTGCCTCATCACAACAACTGAAATCTCTGCGGCCTGCCTTGTTTCAGCTCTTTTCTACATCTCTCCAAGCCTGCACCTCATCCTGGCTGCCCCTTCCCGGACAGCCACCGCACTGGTTTTCTCCTGTGCTCTAAGTGGTGTTTCTGCTACATCACTTCCAGCTCCGTGCACTTCTCCCTCTTGCATCTGATTCTTCTTCCCCATGGTTATCTTCTGATTTTGGCCCTCCTTTCACTAAAACTGGCAATATTCCTGCACTGGAGGAAGCGCTCAACGCAGTCCTTGGGCACGGTTTTGAATTCCCATTGCTCACAGAGTCTCCTTCAGTTACCCAAAAGGGAGCTCAGCAGATAAGTTTTCAGCTGCCAGAGAGCAAAAGTCCTCAGGAGGATTCTCTATTTCTGTCCAGAGCTTCTCCATTGCTACAACCACATACCCAGATCATATATCCTAATATTTTTCCACGGGAAAAGTCAGCCAGAACCTTGTGACTTTCAAAAAGCAATAACTTATTATCTCACTGTTGCAACCAGGAATGCCTCGAGGAAACTTGTACTTCTGAATGCATCCAGGGCACCCGCAAAGATTTATTGTTGGCAGGATTCAAATCTGCACTTGTGCTGCCAAAATGCAAACGCCACTGTGAGCCAGCTGAGAGCACACTGGTAGTTCCAGCCCTCTAAACAATGCAGATGTGTGATTGACTGGCGTTGCCCACTGTGTGCCTTGGGTTCACAGCTGCAGATCAGAGCAGCAGGACGTGCCTGGAGCGTGTGTCAACACCAACCTACACACGTTTGGCAGGGGCTGCTGGCACACAGGAGGAAGCGGGTTGGACAATTGCCACCACGCAGTATTTCTGAAAAGCCAAACACCACATACAGCATTTCCTTGGGGAGTTTAGGAGCTCTGATCCTTACAGCCCCACAAAGCATGGAGAGCAGCAAAACCAGCCATCACTGCTGGTGCAAGGTGCTACAGCCACTTTGACCCGCTGCTCTTCTTTCCCAGCTCTGGGTCTGGCCGTGCTCTGCAAACATGAGGGAGCACAGTGCCCCAAGGCCAAAACATCAGCACAGAGTGAAATGACCATGGCTTCCTGCTTCCAAGGAAGCTCAAGACTCCCACTGTAGTGGGGGTGTTGGCTCCCAAAGGTCTGTGATCTGCAGGACCAGACCAGCTCCATTACAGGGCTCAAGCTGGTTAGATTTGACCCCTCCTGCTCTCACTTCCTGCAGTTGCCAAGATCTGTCTCCAGTTTGTGCCCAGCATGAGAAGACAAGGACACTCAGCTCTGGGGGCTCAAGTCACCCCCGTGGCCAGCACGGTGCAGGTGCCAGGTTGGAGTGGGTGGCAGAGTGTGGCAAACCACCACAAGGACTTGGCAAGCCATGAGAGCACAGTAACTTTAGCTGGAAATTGCAACCTGCCTTGCAGTGGAAGAATATCTGCCATGAGCATTTTCCAGAGCCCTGGATCTCCACTCTTCTACACTGACACCCTCTCCAGCACATGCAGTGATTGCTACCACAGGGGAAGGTGCATCTCTGCAATCACCCCCGTATGCCTGAGCTTCACCTCCCTTTAGGGAAGCTGTGATCCCAAGGATGACAAGGGCAGCAGACATCTCCAAACTGCCTGGGTTAGACCAGGCTCTGTTTGCCCAACAACATACCATGAAAAGGTACCAAGAAAATCCCTTCTCGAGATTGGCTGCAAACTGCCATATACATCATCTACATTTACATATACGTGCAAAAGCTTAATATATATGTAAACTATATTTACATACAAACATATGCTAAAGCCTTTGGTAGGGTTGAATGATCCCTACAGGCTGAGTTACTTGAATTTCTCAGGGAAAGACTTAGGCTGCACTAGGGATGTTAAGCTTAAGATATTTATATGAAAAAAAATTAATATTTTTCAATAGTTGAAATTCTTAAGGCCTTAATCAGGTTAGAGAGATTTAGAAGTTAGATCAATATCTCATCACACGCCATACAGAACAGGCTTTTTTCTAACTGCCTACAATAATGATTTGAAAAGGAAAGAAAATCCTACCCTTTTAGCAGACTTCTCCAAGTCCACACAAGACACAGTGTGCCACCCTTCTAGTTTCCAAGAGCTCTGTGGCATGAAGGCATTACTGAAGAAAACAGATGTATTTTTATGGTAATCGTTTTAACACCTTTGACATTGTTTTGTAACTACCTTGGATCCCAATATGCTTTGCAAAGCTGCAGAGAGAGGTGAGGGCTGACGAGTCTAAATTTAAGGAGCAGGAAACCTGACTCACTGCTGGCACTGCCAGGGGCTCCCTGCAGGAGCGGGTAACTCACCCGGGGTGGTGTCTGCAGCACTCAGCCTCGCCCTGGAGCCCTTCTCCCTTCGGCCATTACCTTCAGGAGACATTTCCAGGGAGCAGGTGAGCATGAGAAAGCTGGCAGCATCCCTGAATGTCTCCATCAGCTGCTGCAGGGTGTCCTCACCCACCTTCCATCGCCACACAAGGAAGGGTGATCTTCTGGTCAGCCTGTGGGTGCAGGCCAAACCTAAACTCTGTGCTCTGCTTTAGGCAACCACTTCTAAATAATAGTGAAAATTGACCCTTCAAAACAGGCAAATAGCCTTTTCAACCACAATTAAAAACCTCGGGATATTTTTAGTTTCTGCTCCAAGCATTCTACATTTCTAATGGTAAACTAGGAAAGGGGAGAGTAGATAGAGATACCTGGGTTTGGATAAGAAGTTGTATTCCATTTTCAGAGATCCAGGTGTTGTTTAGTAACCTCTGAAAATGTGTTGCTGTTGAAAATGGAAACATTTTGATGACCATTTTTAAAAGACCATGAGAAAACTAGATGCCTTTCCTCTGGCCCTGCCCTCAGCTGGGAAGATCCCTGACTGCCTGGGACCACGGGAGCTGTGGAGCATCACCCTACAAGCAGCCACAAGAGCCTCAGGGTCAATGCATGTCCCAGTGGCAGTGTTTGTATCTGACAAAGTCTCTGCTCATGAGACCCACATGTTTTGGTGACCCTTTCTTTCCTATGCCACGAGCAGCAGAGAGGCCTTTCTGGAGGGTGGAAACTGTGGTGAGTGGAGGATAACATCTGCAAGGTGATGCTGCTGCTAAGATTTCTGCACTGTGACTTCTGCCACATCCAGAGCCAGCAGAGCTCCTTGGAGACAGACTCCTCCAAAGCCATCTGCTTGTGAGGGTGATACCTCACACACCTCGGAAGGAACAAGCAGAAATCCAGCACAGCTCCCCTGCTCCCCTGGCTGACAACCCAGAGCCCAGAAAGGCTAAGCCCAGCCAAGGAATTAAATATCATGCTGGAAGACCAAAGCTCTCCCTCCCCTGAAAGAGAAGGTAAATATCTCTAGCATTTACAGTACCAAAGTTATATTGGAGAAGGCTCCCACAGAGACACTGATTCAAAGGAAAGTGTTGCTGGGGTTTTGGCTAGCACGTGGATTTAGTCCCAGCTGCAAAGCCATATCCTGATGACAGGGGGGCCTGGGACAGCCAGGGTCACACAGTCCCCCGGCTTCCTGGTGAGGAGCAGCAGAGCATTAGAAAGAGCTGCAGGGGAAAATAACAGAGCAGGATAAAAATAAAAATAGTCAAACTCCATCTTGTCATTAATATATTAAAAAAAATACTCAACCACCATTTTGTCCTTAGCACAAAAGGACCAGGCTATAATTTGGAGGTGCATCCCTGCTCCATCAACCCCACCACTCTCCTGCTGCCAAATCCCTGACATACTGGAACAGCCCTGAGGCACGGGGCCTTGCCACCTCAGAACAGGGATTTCCTTGGGAACATCAGCTTTGCTCCAGAAACAGGGTGATGGCTGGTTTGGATTCACACTGCCTTGCTGTCAGGAAGCCAGGTCTGTCCCACGGCTTGGCTGAGCATTGGACCTGGATGCAGGAATAATCTGAGGCTGAAATGATGCTGCTGGTGACAGAGAGAAAAGCACAATTTTGCTCTCACTAGCTACATCCCCAGTCCTCTGCTACCCTGTTGTGCTGTTGCTCCAGGCCCTGTGATGGTTTAAACCCCTGTGGGCTACCATGGAGCTGCAGACACTGAGCATCATCAGATCAGTTTTTCCCAGGGTGCTCCTGACTCAGTCTCAGGATGCAGCACCAGGCAGCAGAAGCTGCCTTGGCCAGCACTGAAGCTGCCTTCCCTAGGAACCTTCTCCTCAACGCCGCAATTCCTGAATCTCTTCAAACAATCAGCTTCAGGAGGAAAGCGAGGAAGAAATGCCTTTGGGATGCACTTTGTTTCTGGGGAAATCAAAGGCAGCAAGACACAACAAGACAAATTCCCTTCCCGTTAGCACGGAATTCTGCTCCGCACGCAGAGCCTTCCCACGGCACAGCTCATCCCCAGTGACCCGTGGGAGCAGCTCAGGTTGTGCAGCCTGAGACACAGACAGCCCCCTGTGACACAGAAAGCACCCTGCCCTCCCCAGTGCCTCAGCAGTCTCTTTCACCCCTTACAACCTAGCTGAATGTT